GTGTCCGCTGAAAGTAGGTCAATAACCATATATTCCTTGAACAAAAACAATATGAGTTTCTAAATACCATTTTTCATTTTGGCTCAGCACAAAGAGTTACATAGTGTGAGGAAAACAAAGCAGAAAATAACTGTCAAATATTCAAAATACTGGGGGTCAAGTACACATTTACCCCCATATTTTTTTTGTACGTGCGCTAATGACTTTCTATTTATTTTTCTTCAAGTGTTCAATCATTTTTGAGTATTTTTTGTCTCTTGTAAAATTTCGATAAAATTATTTGTGTAGTGCATAAAATGTTGTATGGAGTTCGGGCGTAACTTGCTTTTATGGAGGCTTTTATGGATAGCACAGGTTGAGTCGTCGCTATCGCTGGAGCTCTTACTTACTCCATAAAAGCCGATATTACGCCCTTGATACATAAATAACTATTTTGTATTAGTACTTATCATACTATGCTTATTTAAAGAACTCTTCAGCGTGTTCAAGTTCAACTGTCCAACGCGCGTGGAAAGGTGAAAAGTCGTGAAATAGTTATTTATTATACAAGGGAAAAAAGTAGTAGATTTTAGCTCCAGGTTGTGTTGTCTCCCGACGCGTAGCGGAGGGAGACAAAAAACCGTGAGCTAAAATCTAATATTTTTCCCGTGTATAATACACTATTTTTTTCTGTGACAGAAGGAAGAACGAATCAATATTGGGAAGATATTACATTATTTCGAAATCTGAAAATTATCGACGTGAAATTTCAAGTTTTTAACAGTAAGGACACCTGCGTTTTATAGACATCTTCATCATTCTTTTGAAGTAATCAAATATCTGATGTCACTTCTGTCAGTTCAATTCTGTGATTTGATTTTGAAAAATTGCGAATTCAGTAGTTGTTTAGTAATATACGAAACCGCGAAGTCGAATGGAAGATAAAAGGACTTGCAGTTCTTTCTCGGAGACGGTATTATTGACTTATTTTTCGGAACTATAGCACAACAAAAGTCATTAACAGAGTATATATATGTGATATATATCCGGGAAAGAAGTACTCACTTTTTTCCCACGGGAAAAAAGTAATTTATGAAAAGTGACATTTTATAACCTGCCAACAGAGATGAAATGCCAAACTTTTTTCCCGTCACAGAAAAAAGTCTTAAAAATCTCAATGCTTTTGGTTTTAATTATTGACCTGACAGGAGTACCATGTAAGGTGGAATAAAATATCACTAACAATTATTACTTATTTCCATATATTTATGATCTCAAAGCGTACCAATAAAAAAATACCATAAAGTATTCCTGGATAACTGATGGTCATTCAAACACTTGCTCTGTTTCGAGCACTCCGACAGGCCGTCGTGCTCGAAAAATTGTGCGTGTTTAAAATACCTCAATATCCAAATATACAGGGTGTTTCTTAAGTACGTGTAGAAAATTCAGGAGTATTATATGTTGCTGACGTCAAAATAAGAAGAAAAGTTCGTATAAATATATGTCTGGAAGAAAATCTATTTATTTTTGACAGTGACATTATAAGCTTATATCGTCATAGTTACGATATCTATAATGAGGGTCATAACTCCCTTGGGATGTTATAGATGCTATAATTCCCTCTAGCTAAAATTAAATAAGAAATGCATAACAACAACCACGCAATAACGTAGCAATAAGGAATCACCTATTCGCGGTAGTCAAGATCATCATCTGACGTTCTGATGACATTGAAACTATACGGAAAAACATGTCTAACTTCCAATCGGGAAGGTATCTAATGAATGAAATCAGTCAGAAATAAAATTATCTATGTATCACGGGAATTATAGAGCCTTAATAACCTCTGGCAATTGCTGTCCCTCGGGCCAGAGGCCCTCGGGACGCAAACTTTGCCATCGGTAATTAAGGCCCTCATAATTCCCTCAATACATAAATAACTATTTTCTGCTATAAAACGTGATACAGGTACACACAAAAACTTATGACTTTTCAAAAGACTCAAAAGACATGTAGGTGGCGTCACCCCCATGAAAGAGACAAACTAACATAAAAGGACCCCGCACCGCATCAATGGGAAATTGGCTTTCGGTGAATTTGCTCGAATTTTTGATAAATTCTAGACTTCTTAGTGCTGATTAAATGTCTCTATTGCACCAACGTTCTAAAATCAACGGTTTAGATTATATAGGGTGATAAAGTTGACTTTTTCAGAATTTCAGATCAAAATTGTGAAGACTCCTTTGGGGATATCAAAACCAAATTAACTAAGCATTGATTGTTTCGTTGAGCGGTACTAATCCACTATGAAGTATAATAATTCCTGCACGTACTAACAATATACAGGGTGGGCCCGAATATAGCAAACAATTCAGTGATTTTCGTAAAATTGAGCGGTAGAATTTATTCATTCATGTTTTGTAGTATACAAAAATTAACCCCAATTCATGATATCAGCATTTTTTAAATCATACAGATTATATACAAGATGTTTTATTTTCCATGTTACTTATTTTTGGCATCCAATGACTTACAACTTGAACAATTCATTTAGAAACTCATTCAATTCATGATGAAAATTCAATCTGCAAATACGTGAAATATACAGGGTGGATAAAAAGTTATTGGCCTTTGCTAATAATATCTCAGGAGTACTACAGATTCTTGTGATACATTTCTTAGGCTCTTTTTCATAATGACATTATATTCAACAAGAATAATTTAAACCATTCGATGTGATATATTTTGAATAATATAATTATCAAACAGCAGGTATTATAAGGAGGTAGGCAATTCAAGTGATAGTGGAACAATCTTAGAAAACACACACAACAGAAATTCTGTACCTCACAGAGTGTATTACTTTCGTGTTAGATAATTCCACATACTCTATATCTCAGAAACGAACAAATTTCGGACATACAGTGTGACCCACTTAAGACTGGAGCACCCTCATAAAATCTATAGTTTTTGACCGATTTCTTTTTTTTTTTTGTTCCAGCAGAAGGACTATCCGGAGATCTACGTTTACACAAATTTGCAAAATAAAATTTCAATGTACAGGGCATACTATATTATTTTTTTCATGTTAAAAATTGTGAAATATTAGCGATTTAAAAAAAAATCGACCCCACCACTGAATTCAGCATCCTTCAATTAGGTTGAGCGCAAAATTTCATTGAAAAATTTCAATTGGCAACAAAGTTATAACAACATTGATTTTGATTGCTCACCATTTTTTATGAATATTTCAGACAAATTCTGAGAAGCGGCAACATTGTCAACACAAATGTTGGAAATAATTGAGGTTCCTGGTATACATTTAAATTGATAACACAAATCATTATCAAGTTATAATCTCTAGAATGGTACCCTTTTGGAATGAAGTAATGAAGTCGGAAAAACAGCTTTTCATAATAAGTTAATTATCAATGTAAACCAACGATTTCTGGAAGCTCTGGATGTTTTTGGCTTCTGATATCATCTTACTATACAAACTATCCGATTTTCTAACTCTAATTACTACTTTGATGAACAAGGCCGATTTTTCGACGTTATGGATTTATTTTCATTAATTTTATGAATCTTTCCATGAATACCAAGATAAATTCCATTTTAGATGTTACAACTAGATAATAATTTGTGTTATCAATTCGAATGTATACCAGAAACCTTGATGATTTCCAACATTTGTGTTGACAATGTTGCCGCTTCTTAGAATTTGTCTGGAATATTCATAAAAAATGGTGAGTAATCAAAAATAATGTTGTTATAACTTTGTTGCCAATTGATATTTTTCAATGAAATTTTGCGCTCAACCTAATTGAAAGATGCTGAATTCAGTGGTGCGGTCGATTTTTATTTGAAAAAATCGCTAATGATATTTCGCAATTTTCAACATGAAAAAAATAACATAGTATGCCCTCTAGATTGAAATTTTATTTTTCAAATTTGTGTAAACGTAGATCTCAGGATAGTCCTTCTGCTGAATTAAAAAAAAAAGAAATTGGTCAAACACCATAGATTTTATAAGGGTGCTCCGGTCTTAAGTGGGTCACACTGTATATTCATACGAACTTTTCTTCTTATTGTGACGTCAGCAACATGCTCCTGAATTGTCTACAGGTACTTAACAAAAACCCTGTACTCTTATACTTAATTCACTCTCCTTATATACTTTAATATACTATATCTTTCATGTTAGAATTGCTGCCATTTTCTCGAAAGAAACATCAGATAATGCCATGATATCTGTTTACCCATTTGGAGATGAGCTGTATGCTTTCACAGAAACGCCAGTTATTCATAAAGTGAATGTTCAATCCCTTGATACTGAAGGTAGGGTGAATTTGGCAGAACATATAGCTATTGTGAATCACACATCCCATCCTCATGTTCTCAATGATGGTAAGTTGAGAAAATTCTGAAATTATCAGTTGAAGTGAACTTTCATATTGTTTCGAAAAGGTACAGTGTTCAACTTGGGGATGTCAGTTCATGCCACAGGACCACATCACATAATAGCCTGCTTCTACAAAGATAAAACTAGTATGTAAAACACCTGCATGAATTCTATTCGCTATATATAGTATATTTCAGATCCAGACAAGACCATGTTTGAGAATGCTAAAGTTGTAGCTTCAGTCCCAGCAAGATGGCCATTCAATCCATCATACATGCATTCATTTGGTAATTCAAAATTAAATAGTTACACCATAGAGTACTGATGATGCAATTTTCAATATATTACAACATGTGTATCTCAAATTGAATGATAAGGAAGCTGCGACTGCAGTTTTTTGCAATTTAACTAAGGCTTTCCACTGTCAACCACAAATTTCTGCTCCAAGAATTAGAGAGACATGGATTTCGAGATGTAGTTTTGAGATGGTTTAGTTCTTATTTATCCTAAAGAAATCAAGTATATCCCTTCAAGATAATATGTCATGTAAATTAGAGGTTACTCGGGGAGTGCCTCAAGGATCAGTGCTTGGACCTGTCCTTTTTTTGTTATACATCAATGACCTAGCGTCGATCGATGTTATGGGAAAATTCACCCATTTGCAAATGACACCACATTATTTTGGCACAATAAAAATATTTATGACTTGCAACAAACAATGAGCAACGATATTGCCATTGTGAAAAAGTGATGTGGATTTCAATATGTTGACCTTTAACATCTCCAAAACCAGTTTCCTAACTTTTAATTGCAATCTGCAGGAAGAACTTCAGTTAGGTACCTAATCAAGTAATTAGTAATAGAACAGATACGAAGTTTCTAGTTTTACACATTGATAATAAGTTGAAGTTCAGTGACCATATTGACAAATTAAGGAAAAAAATTGTCAACTGGCTGTTATGCAGTCAGAACAACATCATGGGAACTTGGTATGGATATGGCCAAAAATGTATACTTTGCTCTCATTGATTCACATTTGAGATATGGAATGTGTTTTTAGGATTTATGTAGTTGAACTTTGTTTGATGGGATTTTTGTCTTACATAAAAGGGTCGTGAGTACACGGGCACATAATTTAAATGTACCAATGCATAGCTCTATGTTAATAATTAACGCTTTCATTTACAAGGGCAGAAAATTGTATAACCATTTGCCTGATGAGGTAAAATGTATCAACAACCAAAGAATTTTCAAAAACTTAGTCAAAAGTCTACTAATGGAAAAGGATTTCTACTCTTTGGACGAATTATTTCCAGAGAAATTCCTAAAATAATTAACATTGTTATATTGTGACGTATTTCGATTTAGAACTTTTAACTACATTTTGTGGTTTTAACAGTGTTCTTTATGCCTTATGTGTTTTGTATTGTTGACTATATATTTTGTAAGTTTAATTTATACATTTGTATATATATTTTGTAGGTACTCTACTTTATTTCCTTATATATTCATATATATGCATGTCGACCTTGTCAATGAGAATTCTATTCTTCTGTCAATGAAGTATATTTTGATTTGATATTTATCTGAACTGAACTGTTTTATTCCACCAGGTATCACTGAGAACTTTTTTGTGATTGCTGAACAACCTCTGTGTGTTTCTGTAATGGGACTGGTTGGGACTAAAATAAAGAATGAGCCATTAGCAGGATGTTTCAGATGGTACCATGAAGAATATGTAAGGCAAAGATTCATTTCATTTTCTAGTTTCCCCGCTCAAATGTGGCTTATATATTTTACAGACACGAATATGCCTGCTTTCAAGGAAAACTGGAAAATTAACTCATGTATTCTACGCAGAAGCCTTTTTTTATTTGCATTTTATAAATCAGTATGAAGATAATGGCCATGTGATATTGGATATTTGTATTTACAGAGACCCTTCCATGCTGGATTGTATGTATGTTGATACAATGAAGGTATGATTGAAATATGTATTTAGTGCGATGGTTGATTGGGCTTTAAAATAATGCATTCTTTCTTGAAAAATTAACTGAATAGTGAATACAAAGTTTCACCATAGCACCCCATAAGAAGTTGAATTGTTATTTTTGTCTAAGTCTTTGTAGATTTCAATGTTGACCTTAATGCCACAATCAAGGAATTTTGAACATTCAAGAGCATACTATCAAGTTTATTGTTCTCTATTTGTTTTATTCTCTTCCTATTCTTAAGGCAATGCAGCAGAATCCCAATTATGCGAAAATGTTCAGGGGTAGACCTGCACGATTTGTTTTGCCACTGAATACAGACCCGATGAAATCTTATACTGGAGACAATTTGGTAAAGTTAAATGGTACCAAAGCAAAAGCATTCTACTTACAAAATGGTGACATACTTGTTAAACCACAAAAACTGTGCAACCTGGGTTGTGAGACACCAACAATCAACTATGAAATTCATTTGGGTATGATTTTATTCTCAGCTACAATCACATTTTAAACGTCTTAACCACCGACATAACCTATTCGATGAAATAATTCGTTTCAGAGGTTATTCGAAACTATTAGTCTAACATAAAATCAATAATTTTCTTATCATTTCTGAAAATAATCAGTTCCTCTTCATCAACATTTCATTTAGACAAAGAATGATAAAACAAATTAATGTTTACTTCAAAATAAAATAGCAGTCGCGATGGCCCGGAAAATAATGGTCCAAAAGATCTGATATTTTATGTTAGAGCTCTGTATGGAATTGAAATCAATATATCATCTTCTCATTTTTAATAAAAAAGTTCTAAATTTGAAACGTTATACTCGATATGTTGACTAAAGTAATAAATGGCATTATAACAGACATATAGCAGCAAATATTATTATACGGTTGAAGGATTGACCTCCTATTCACGAACACCCTGTATAACTTGAATTTGCCATGGTAGTTTGATATTTCAGTTTTTATTCACAGGCAAACCATACCGATATTTCTATGCTATCAGTTCAGATGTTGATGCAGATAATCCAGGAACAGTAAGTTTTTTTTCATATTTCTCCAACCATTTTTCAACTGAATTTGAAGGAAATTACTAGCATGTACCGTTATCTCTAATAGATCTTGGCAATCTATGATTAATTTCAAAGATAGCTTGTTTTGGTAACCAGTTTCTTTCTAATTCATAATATTCTTGGATGCATAAATTATCTGTCAAGTGAAAATTTGAGAATTTAGGACTCATTTTCGTTCAAAAAGGACAATATAGCTAAGGTAAACATTAATTGTGTTTTGTGCGCCATTAGTATTGCTTAATTTGTCGTGTGTTGTTTTAAAGAGACTCTAAATTATGTTAGTGTGATTTGATATCATTGTTGATTTTGAATAATACCAGTAGGTTTAGTTATTTGTCCTGTAGCCTTTGGATGCAAGACTAGGCAATATATGTTTCATGGGTATATAACCTGAAAAAATGCACCTATAAATACAAGGTGTCCGGAAAGGTCATGCCGTAAATAATAGGGATGATAAAGTGAGCCAAAATAATGTGTTAGTACTTCATATAAAAAAATCTTTATAGCACTTCTTCAGAGAGTTATTGACCTTTAACAAACTTATTCATGGTGTTACCAAAGTATTAAAAACTGTGAAAAAAAATGGATATCAATTTTGACTACTACCATGATATTGAATACATATAAGTTTTTATGACCTTTGAAGCGGTTGGGAATTTTGGGATGTATGTTTTCAAAATGAGAGTTCCTCTAGAACGGTACAAAACATCCGTTGAGATGAAGTATACTACTTTTGTAGGAATAAGATGAAGGAATCAAACGGAAAGAATTCGTCTCATCACTGAACAATGTTTACATATCGGAAGAAGCATACCATGGCAACTGAATAACGTATTAATCATTCCAGAATGACGTCATTTGACAGGTTGGTATACTCATTAAAGGTAACCTAACAGATAGTTTGTGTGCTCTCAAGAAACCATGTCAAAATCACGTGTTCTAGAATGATCAATTGAATGGTTACTGAATTAATGCCCGATTGGTTTCTGTTCCAATGAAATACACTAATCATTGGGGTATACTATCCGGATTTTATTATTCCTATTATCAGACATCTGATCATGTTGCTCGCTTGGTGGACCCGACAGAAGAGAGATTTCCCTCTTCACGTTACTGTCGTAACCTATATTATGTTCTGCGCATGTGCGCCTTAAACCTCAACGTCACAGCAACCGTGCAAGAGTTATACCTACATGAAATATTTTTGTATTCGAACTTTCAAGGTCAATATCTTCGTAACGAAGTGCGATAGCAATTTTTTTATAGGAAGTACTAACATCATTTTTGGCTCACTATCAGCCCTATCATTTACGACATGTCCTTTCCGGACACCCTGTGTATGAAAGTTGATTTTTTTCAACGGACCTGTTACAAAGTAGTTCAATTGAGATACACACTCTCTCCTAGACTGTCAATTATTTTAAAAACCAAAGTAGATCTTAAACAAGAAATTATTTTGCTAATAGATACGGGTGAATCTGAAAGTGAGATTTTTCTATTTCTGTATATCTCGCCAAAATAAGTTGTTTGGCCTAATGCTTCATTCCCTCCTAAGTTTGTTGGTTCACTTGAAAACGATAATAAATAGGTTGAAAATGTAAAAAGAGGTTTTTGATTAGTGTTTCTGATGACATAATGCAACTGTAGAGTATCTAATGCTGGACTAATAACGGATTTTTTGCGTTTTTTTTTTTTAGAAAATGTAAACAAAATGTTTCATAGTTGGAGTATTCGTCAAACCATTAAATATACCTGTACCTTCGTTATCTTGAATATTTTATGTGAGCAATTTTTTCCAAACAACCTATTTTGGTGAGATATATATCCTGTTAAAAAACCTCACTTTCAGATTTAGCTTGTATAATCGGAAATTAACAAACCATACCAAACACACCCTTGTAACTCATGAATTTATAGGTAGGATAGGTATTATAGACTATTTTTGAGATGCAAATTTGGACATACGTTGAAAAATATGACAACACTTATATTTCCGCCTACCTCTATCACAAGTATACATTTCCTAGTCTCATTGTAGGGAGCAAAGTCGTACTTTTCCTCCCTAGGTACGTCTTCAATGAAATAACTCATACGGCATTGACGACCTAAACTTTATTCTATTATACAGGGTTATTCACGTTATTCGACACGAAGCATTGTGGCTAAAGCATTTTGTTTTTTTACAGCTTATTTTCTTTCGGTATGAATAGGGACCTATCAGCGCTACATTTTAAAAATATTTTCATGTTGTACAAAAACCAGGAGCTAGAAACACGAATAGTATCAAAGTTGCTATTTTTCAATAGAAGATCCTGTATATAATTGCTTTTTTAGATTCATTTATTATTGGACAAAACGGCTTACATGTCAATATCTCAACTTCTGATTTACTATTCACTGACATTAATTGGAAAAGTTACAAGTTGGTGGTTCAAGATTCTGAATACTGATCACCCTGTATCTGTTCCAATTACTCTAACATAAGTTGAAAATATGTATGCCTATAAGTTATACTGTACCTAGTTCTTAGTTTTAGTTCTTTGATAAATCTTGTTTCAGTTTCATAAATGGATTATTTGAAAATTACTTGTTATTTGAGGAAGGCGGAATAATCATATGTATGCATGGGGGTAAAGTTCCTTTTCCTTACACAGATAGCTATTATTCAGTAGTTAATTGTTAGAAGCAAGAAATTATATCAAATTATGCGTGGACGTGGATGTTCCATTAACCGACGAGATAGAAATTTAGGTATTAGCAGAGATTATGGTTGACTAATCTCTGGTAACTATCAGTATCTGAATAACTATATTCACTATGAAGCCTTTTCAGTTACCTCAGAATAATTTATAGTTATAATTATGATCAATAATTTCAGGTGATTAAAGTGGATACTTTGTCAAATACCACCAAAACGTGGAGTGAAATCAACTGTTATCCAAGTGAACCAATTTTTGTACCAAGACCAAATTCTAGGGTAAGTCTCTTATTCGTTTCAAAAAAACCTTGATTAGTGTTTCTATCTTTTACTTGGCATTGACATTGACTGAAATTTTGGGATTTTATCTTGTTTTCTGTAGAATAAACCGAGAATAATTGATATTTTTATCACATAGAGAATGCGAATTCTCAATTTTCCCTGTTATAAACATATACGTCAATTGTTTCTTGGGAATAATGAAGATGATGATGATGATAATGTATTTCTCTATATGTATATCCATTTTTTCATTTTTTTATGTTCATAATTTATCTAATATCTCTTATCAATTTTATCTTCTCGTTCCTCTGAATAGATATATTATTTTCATTTCAATATATTTGTTCCAAGATATCACTGTGTTTGAAATCTCACAATGAGGGTTAACATTATTTATTTTATTGTTCTCCAAAACGCGCCACTGAAACGTGAGATCAGGGTTGGTAGTACTGATAAAAATAGTCCAGCAAACAATTTTGGTCGGTCTTATGATGGTCCATAATATACTGGCCAATTGCTCCACTGTGTCGTTAGGGACCTAAATTAATTTTTTCAACATTCTCATGTCGTACCGTCAAGGACACTATTTGGCGATACCTCGAATAAATGGTTACGTCAGCTTTTATGCTGTTTCGTTATTATTCAGATAATCTTCCATTCCCACTCACAAATTAAGGGTGTCAAGTCACCATGATATAGTTCATTCTTGACTTTTTCTAGCAATCAGCATTTCCAAATATTTCCTATACTCCATAAAAAATATCATGTAAATGTTGGAGACTTGGCAATATTGTGCTGATGATGACACGGGACAAGACCACGCCCACAAGTAGTGCGCGCCGTGTTGTCAGGTTCACTGCTTCAAATGTCCTCTAGTGTGAATTTATATAATTACTATTGGCAGAAATGTATTATAAGCAATAAGCAACAAATCATAAGGGAATATTTTGAGACAATTGGTTTTTTATTGCTAAATAGGAATATTACCTGTATGACTGCCGTCACCACTCAGTAAATTATAATAATCACTCACTAATAGGTAAACGAGGGTAATTGAAACACAGGATTAATAGCATCGACTACCCTGTCTCGGTGTCGTACAACAACTGATTCACTGACCTGTATCTATCACAATCCAGTTGTTATACAACCTAAACCAGGTATCGTCTTATCTTTATTCTACATTCCAGTGGGTACACTACATTACCAATACATAATTGACACATTATGAATGATGTTTGCTGGGATACTTCGTATTTTCGTGTCAGTTATCTTCTTCCTACGATATCTTCTTCTCCGTCAATGTAAGAATTGGTAGTAAAGTTCCACATTGAGAGTAAAAAAACGTAAGTCGGCTCAAGTCTTTCGATAACTTGAGGTTTTCTATTTGCTCAAATATTCTATTTCATTTTTTTTTTCGTATAATTTCGATAAAACAGGCCATAGCCTTCAGGGTTATCCGGCAATATTTTGGGATTTTTGACTTTGACACTGACCTGACCTCACGTTTTAGTAGCCTTGCTGGCCATCAGAAAAATTTCTGCAGTCGATGGGAATCGAACCCACGACCGGCAAGCGAATGCGGATTAGAATATTGACACTATGTCCGCACGGCTACCTGGCCTCCCGTGCAGTGACATTTTGAAACAAACCATCTGTTAGGTCCTTACTACTGATCTATTGTAAAAGTGCTAATATTCTTTGAAACGAGAATCCCAAGAATTTAGAGTAATTAATATTCCGCCTCGTCCAGTGGCGTGCCCAGGGGAAGGGGTGAGGTTTGGACACCCCCCTCAAGATCCATCCGAAGCGTCGTGTTAATTTTTCATTGTACTATTGATTGAACTGATGACACCTCCCAGAAAAAAAATCCGGGGCACGCCACTGACCTCGTCGATTAACCCACACAGAATTCAACAAATTGACTATCATTATACAGGGTGTTCCCAAATTTGTTTGTTCTTGGCTTATTTCAGGACTAAAACTTCCTACAAACATGTGTCCTAATTTGATTGGTTTTCAAAAGACAGGGTGTCAAAGTTGATGAAAATTAATAAGTTAGGTTAGGTGTGCATTAACAAAACATTCGAAAAATAATTAGTGATTACTCATAGCTTTTGTAATATTCAAAGGTATGAAAAAAATGAATAAAAATCTAGGTCTATATTCAAAAATTTGGGGGAAGAAAAAGTGGGCGTGACAGTGTCATTCATTTCTCTTGAAAGACAAGGGTTTTAGGAAATTTCGGTTTTTTCGTATATCTCCGAAAGTATTCGGAATTTTTCAAGTTTTGAAACGGCATTTTGTAAGGCATTAAATTGCCCAACTTTGCCATAATTTAACTGACCCTGTATCTCTCACGGTTTACGAGATCCCAATGATGGGGCTCGAATTCCAGGTAACCTGGACATGACATCTAGGAACACCCAGTATAGTCAATGACACAAAGCATAGACGATCAGGTTTTTTTTGCCTATATTTTGATCATCATCATTAGGGCCAATAATAAAATTATACTAAAAATTCACGTTTTAGTTTGAAGATGATGGGGTGGTTTTAACTGCAATGGTATGGGGTGAAGACGACACAAACCATGTTGGATTGTTGATTCTGGATGCAGTAACATTTATTGAACTAGGAAGGGCTGAATTCAGGACGCCAAGTCCTGTCCCAAAATGCCTGCACGGATGGTTTTTACCGCAAAGTCAAAAAGAAGGTAAAATAGAAAACAGTGAAATAAAATAAGCATATTATATTTTAGTAATACAACATAGTTCTGATAAATAAACTGTATAATGAATAACAAACACAGATTATAAAATATACTAACAATTACTATGATGATTATTCATATATCTACATGAATAATGTTATGTTGAAATAAATAAAATTCTAATTTGAATATGGGATTGAAAACTCAAATATTCGACTGAAAACTTAGTTATTTCTTGAATAGCACACTGATATGCTTGTCATATTTTATCCCTGCAAATTGTTAAAAAATACTTTGCCAGAAATTTCATCATTATAAATAACTTTCTCAGTAATAAAGACAAACATTGAATAATAATAATAAGACTTATAAGGGTTATACATTTGCAATACTAATCGAAATAAATCATGTCCAGAAACGAATCCAATGTAATTGGATAGGAGTAGGGCAATAACTCTTCATGTACTAATAATTCCCAGTATTGCAAATATTACAAGCATACCAATGAATGATGGAAATTCCAACTTCTAAAAACATGAAATGATATGAAATGATTGATAAATATTACAGATTTAATTTCTTCAGAATGTTTTCATTCACAAAAATTCAAAACATCATTAGGTTGAATACACAATATTTTATCTGAAATGTCTCAACATAATCCGACAAAGATATTCTTTGCATAAATATACCATTTAATCAGTCACATTTGTATGTGGAAGCCAATATTGAGTTACTTTTTATCACAAAACCACTATCAATACAAAACAGTCTTCATCAATTGCTAACATTTTGGTTAACTTAAAATCTCCCATGTTTCAATAATGTCCATAGTGTTTGACAGACAATTCAAATGAACAGCTTCACATGCCTTAGCAATAGTATGAAAAATCCCAATGAGTTTAATTTTACTTATTTATTAGTTTGGCGATTTTAATAACCTCAACTCTTGTGAAACAGTTATATACGAGATTTCAAATGGACCAAAACACTGCTTCAACATCTGGCCCAAATAATGAAATGAGGAATAATTGTTATTTTTATGACATGAATAAAACAGTGAATAAATTATAAGTTTGTTGAAAGGAATAAAAAATGACTATTTGTAAGTGGAAAACTATAGATGTGCTCGTTGTTATAACAACTCCCATAATTGTTCACGATAGTTTACTATAACTAGGTGGTGAGAACTTTTTCCTCAAGAACTTCAATATGTAAAGTGGCAAACAGGAAATCAAAGTTATCACTATCACTTTCCAGAAGAAATCCTTTGTCCTTATGAATTCCGAATCTGTAAATATGATGAAAAATGAAATTTCCCAATCTAGACCTTGATACTGAGTTTCACGAAATGTAAGTTGAAAATTTGAGGTAGAGAATCTCAAAAAAACAAATATTTTTAGTCGATAAACCTATGTGCGTAGACGTTTAGTCCGTTCCGAAACGTGTCATAGTTCAAATGTAAATTTCATGAACAGAAAAAAATCCTAAATTTCGACCACCAACAACAATGCACGATCTTCGACAGAAGCGAGTTCAAAAATTCCTAGCGTCTCTCTTTCTGGAGCAGCTTTTTCTATAATAATCCTTCCAACCAAATCATGCGCTCTTTTGAGTCTCGTAAATAAGACCACTCACTTGAAAAATAATTTATTGACAGCACGGAAACCGCATCTGTCAGTTTATTGTCAAGAAATAAATTGAAAATGTCAAACTTAGCAATTAATGTATGCTAATGAAGTCGATACAGTCAATAGATATGGGACTGGCAATTGAATTACTTGTTAGCAAATACATTCAAATCGAATCTGTAGTGGAATAATTTTACACAGCTCATTATCAAGAGTTGAAAAATATACATGATGCAAGAAGTGGCATGATTTGATTACTCAGAATTGAAATGTATGAACTTACATCTCTTTTATGTATATTCATTCGGTATGTTTTGTTCCTTGATTGGAATGTGTCAATTCTGCTATTGAAAAAATTGTAATTTTGCTAATTTCATCATTACATAAAATCATAATGTATAATGGAAATAAGTGTGGCAACGCTGTATTGGCTTGTTTACTACGAGTTACGTTAGTTTCCTCAAAGTCAATCAGGTATGTCAAAACCCGACGTTACAGTGTTGTTGTGCTGTGTTTGTTACTATTTCAGGACGTTTCGTGTTTCAATTGATTCTTAGTATTTTCATGATAAAAAACTATATGAAGACAATTATTAAAATTTTATTATGGCTCGCCAGTACGTAGATTGTGAAAAAGTTCACCATTCCACCATTGGTATTTCAACCTCCTCCCCTATCCTACCTAGGGTACACACGATGTTCTTAAAACATTATAGGAATTTCCTTCCGTGCGCTTCAAGATAAAAAAAAGTTAAGGTTATGAGTTTCATTCAACTTGTGCAGTGGTGTAGTTATCACAAGTTATTCAACTAAATTATTGCACGAAACCTTGCGTTTGTTCAGATTCCACTGAATGGTGGATCAAAAAGTACCTGAGGTAGGTACTATGAATATTTGGTATTGGAATTCAAGAGGTTATACCCACACATTTTCTAATAGGTATAATAGCGTTGTCATTGTAGCATGTAACATTCACACACAGTTTACAGCGTTGCCTTTTTTCAAAGCCAACTCTTTATAACTTATTTGGAACTTTGGATGTATGTATGATTGTTAACAAATAGTGTTTTATGAATAACATATTATGTGTCCCCTCTTTTTATATGTCTATGGTTTTTCCATCTACCACTCCATGAAATCACAACATTTTGATGCTTTTTTTTTTCATTTATTTTGCATCAAAGAACGACAACAATTGATCATTTTAGTTTTTAGTGGAAGTCAACATAATCTTGAATCTCTTATCAATTTTGGATTATCCATCAACGAACCTGGTTTTATCATTATTCTTATAGACAGTATATTATTGTACTCACCGAAATAATCATGCAAAACTATCAACGACAGCCCATATAGACCCAAGGAGAAGAGCTCGGCTAACACCATCAGATAGTGCCATGTTCTGATGTTCAAAGCCACCATAATGAGTTCAGTCAGTATTAGTGATGTGAAGCTGATGGCTACAATGTGAATAAATTCGTCTTCGAACAGAAGCAGTGCTCCGTACATTATCACACCCCCTAAAAAACAGGTTAAATCAGGAACAAAAATCAATAGATTGTTTTTCAAGACTATTTTTGAATTTTGAAGTAGGTACACAATCTGAATTTTATTTGATCAGCTCAAATGTAATGTTATTCTTCTTTCAACTAGGCACCTAAAAATAAGTCTTACCTTGATAAATACTAATCAAAACCCACATGAAGAAAGTTTTGTAGGATAAACTTCGTCCTTTTGCCATTTCCTTATACAATTCGGGGTAAGTTAGAGCTATCTCAGGACTGACGTCTTGATCCAAAACTAAACTGAAAACCTATGAAGCAGATTAATAGGTTAATAGCTTTAAATATATCAAGGGAGTAAAGGTATCCATTTTCTCCCGCGTGTGAAGTTTGAATTTGTTTATTTATAATTGCATTTCATTCAAAGTTTCGATACTTTCGACTGAGTAAGTTTGGAATATTAGGAAGTGTATTATATCATTGGAGTTCAAAAATGAAATTGTTATTTGTTTTATAGTAGGATGGAGACACTGATTAGGTCTTGGATAGAACAGATCTTATACGTACCAAGGAAGCAAGCTAAAGCCAATTTATTTAACCTACCACAGGAGGTAATGTTTTTCAACCTCCCGTGGAAGTAATATGACAGGTTTGTGTCCTTAAATCATGGAGCAATCGCTCACTTTCGATGCAGTGAGTAGATAACAAGTTCAATGGGCGTGTACACCTCAGTAGAACTTTTAACTCAAACCATGTTTATAATGATCCTTTTATACATAAATAATGATTGACGACCTAATTCGATCGAAAAATCAACTGGAATGTTTTATTTTTGGATATAAATAATAATATCTTCTGAAAACGGACCCTCTTATGACGTTGAAAACTCATCTCGCCATAGTTAAAAGAAAATACCAAACGCCCGACGGACACTGAGGCAACTGAAATATCAATTCTTTCAACTGTGATCTCGCGCTAATTCACTCTGTCAGAAATCATGTATCATTCATCTCTGTCTGAAATAGTCTTGTTTCAGTATTAGGGTTTTGACGTCACATCATCGCCTTGTTTTCAGAGGTCCGAAAAATCGGGGATTTTAATAATTTTTAATAAAACGTAGGGAGCTACAGTAAGAAACGGTTTGCGGTGGTGAGCTAGTTTTGGCGAGTTCTATCGAATTATGAAATAATTTTTTTTTGTGATATAAGCCCATTCTTTCAACATAAAATATGTTGATTCACATAATGGCATAACCCATTTCACCCACTACAAGCTCTAGAATACACCCATTATGTCTGCTGCCTTTGACTCATGAAAACGTTCTCGATTACAACTGGTCAGTTATAAAATGTTCACACCTACGAGTTGATAATAAATAGCTATTCATACCAGGTGACACAGGGTTTAGGGCCACTCTAACTTCTGCATTCGTGAATGAAGTTTTTCTGACAGGTACATTTATATAAGCAACCGTTTCGGATTTGATCACATTACAATCTAATATGGCGGACTTCCGGTTTATCTGGAAATGCCAGCATCTTTGATTTTTCAAATGGAACACCGTGTTTAATTTCACATATTCAAGTTCAACAGGTCAAAACAAGTGCAATCCTTATGTAATTGTGATTTTTTCAAACATTTTTGAATTGAAATTGTTTTCTTAATCAACCTCGTGGATAAATGAGATGTGGTCAAGGATATTCACAATGAGAGACAGTGAAACACAATTAGTTGACAAGATACAGAAATGTTGTTTTCCACAGCTTACTCAGTTGAGAAGATATTCGAACTGCAAGGAAATGCATGCACTAGTTGATAATTTTTGTATGTATGCAATTTGTTACTGCACCAAAATACAAACATGATCCCATTTTTTTCTAATGACATGTAGGTGGCTCATATGGGTTTCATTTGAAACAAAATAATTTTTCGTCGACCTCTACAAAAAATCACATTTTACGTTCTAATTTCTGAACGAAAAACCGACTATTTCCGAAGGAAAGTACTTTTCGTCCGCTGCAGGGTTGCCAGGTCTACTAAATTTTCAGTAGATCTCCTGATTTGCATATTGATCTACTGAAACATTTCATAATCTACTGAAGAATATTTTTGTCACTTATTCAATAGTTACCTATATTATTATTAATCTTTGGTTACACTTATGAATTGCATGCTATTTTGGCACGCTTTATTTATAATTTTACAAAATATGTAATAAATGTACGTATAGCTACTAATGATATGTATAAACCAAAAAAGGACAATTTATCTGATTCAGATCAACAGTTTGTTTCTTTTCAATTTTTTATTTGTTATGTATTTTTGTTGATCATGTTTACCATTCATTCCTTTTTTGTGTGATTCCTGTATTTTGTGATATTTGTGTTTTTGAATTGAGAATTATCTTCTTAAAAATAGAGGTTACTTTTCTGTTTACTGAAAGTACATGTTTTGGCGTCATATGTTTATTTCATTCCTTTCTTGGAATTCGTCTAGCATAAAATAGATCTTAAACAGATCTATTGGGGAGTTAATTACGTACCGGAAACATGGTGTAGACGGTGGCATAACCGACCATGAGGAAACCCTGATACAGTGCCACAGAACTCAGGTAAAACACGCTGCTGAACACCGCTTGCATCGTGGAAATGATCAGTCCCCTGTGTATCACAAACTGTGCCAGCGAAGCAGATCTACATCAACAACAATAGTATCATTATATACAGGGTGGGTCACGGTGGATGGCCTATTAGAAGTATCTGGAGAACGAAAAGACAGAACATTCTGAAAATTGGGATGCTTCGATAATTGAACATTCTCTATTCGTCCAAAATGTTTTCATCGATACAGTGTTGCCACTTCTATCAGAAACAAATAGCAACTTTGTTATTTCAAATGGAACACCCTGTATTTTATTGCATTTTCAGATTCTTCCTGAGGAGCTGATTTCATCGATGTATCATACTTGGGGTCAAGCAGAAATGATTACAGAGATATAGGGTATTCAAAATCTAGATTTTTCAATTTTAAGATTTTTTTGTGTCGAAACTATTCATTATTGATCAAAACGGCGTACATGTTCCTATTTCAACTTTTGATTCACTATCTACTGGAATTTAATTGGAAAAAACAGGGTGATTCAGAATTCTGATCACCCTGTATCTGTTCCAATTAAATGTCAGTAGATAGTGGATCGAAAGCTAAGATAGGGACATGTAAACCGTTTTGATCCATAATGAATAGTTTCGACACAAAAAAATCTTAAAATTGAAAAATCTAGATTTTGAATACCCTATATCTCTGTAATCATTTCTGCTTTACCCCAAGTATGATACATCGATGAAATCAGCTCCTCAGGAAGAATCTGAAAATGCAATAAAATACAGGGTGTTCCATTTGAAATAACAAAGTTGCTATTTGTTTCTGATAGAAGTGGCAACACTGTATCGATGAAAACGAATAGAGAATGTTTAATTATCGGAGCATCCCAATTTTCAGAATGTTCTGTCTTTTCGTTCTCCAGATACTTCTAATAGGCCATCCACCGTGACCTACCCTGTATAGTATAACACAAATGATAAGATTTCCACATAATTCTTTAAAACACGACATGCTTCTTCAAGTGAAATATCGCGTGCATACCGGGTGACACAGGAGACATGTAGCAACCTGTAGTTTTTTATTTAAAGAGATACAATTTTGAAATTCACAGGGGGTATATAATGAATGGTAGCGCACTTTACGAACTTAACGAAAATTTTTTTCAACCACCTGTTTGACCGAAAGTGACCCCAACTTTTTTTTTATATGTCACCCTGTACATTTCTTCAGTCTATCTTTTTAGCCTTGAAATTCTCTATCCAACCATGTATCACAAAGTGGCATTTATTTCATAATTCGCTGTTGAATTGCTTTTTATTCAAAAAGAATGAGTTGGCTGTGACATGAATTCGATGATATATGGACACTTGGTAGGCTTTGAAATTTAAAGATCATTAGTAAACTGATATTATTCAAAATATTTTGATATTCTGATCAATGTCTGCAGGTTGTCAATAGCTTGTTTGAGTCAAGATGAAAACCTTCGAAAATAACTCATGATATTGGGGAATCTAAGATAGGAACATATTTTTTCGAATTCAGCTACTCGTACAGAAACTATCTGTCTTTTATTTTCGCCGTGTACCATCACATGATCTTCCCATTCGGAATAATAAAACTGAAATTGTTCCTCTTATACGATGATCCCCAGGGCTATCAGTCTATTTTTTCATAATTATTTCACTTAGTAGGCGGTGTACCTACACAAAATGTTTTATGTGTTTGACAGTTGATCGATTGCATCAATAATTTTTCTTCTTCATTTGTGTGTTGATTAAAATTGCATATTATCAATAGAGACGGAAAATGTATTCAAGAAACGAAAAAGTCGATATGTTCCTCCCTGATAGAAACATTTGTTAAACACAGTGACATTTTGGGGCAAATCATCTCATTTGTCCCACTACAAATATATTGAAATAATACGAATATTTTTATTCTAAAGAAACGAGGAGAAAATCCCAAAGAATCAGGTAAAATGAATATGATGATTGATTTTTTACGCTCTATCACTCCTGCTCATAAAGAAATACTGTTGAATAACATCTGTATTGAATCATCGGAAAATGAGAAAGACCTAGGAATTACATTAGATGTGAAACTGTCTATTGAAAATCAAATTGATGTTATTGTCCGTAAAGCAATGAACATCTCTGTAACCCTCACCTCTTGTACGACTTCCTGCCGTGCACGAGCAGCAGCCGCGCCAGCGTCGCGAACTGCGGAATGCTGAAGTCACCTGCGAGACTAGCCTGTTTGCCCTCGCGCCCTTCGATGCCGATGCCGGCGTCCGCCTGCTGGATCATGCTGACGTCGTTGCCGCCGTCGCCCACCGCCGCCGTGCGTTTGCCTGTGTGCTTCTGGATGAGCTGGACCTGTTGTTGACGAAAATATTACATTGTCACCATAGTTAGACAATGGCGTAACTCCATCATACATTAATACTTTCTTCATTGACAGTATAATCGCAATTAAGAACACCATTCCACACTCGTCTCCCTGGTCTAGGGATAATTTACCACCAATCAATTCTAATACAGGGTGCGGCAAAACAAACAGTGCAGTTTTGAAGGGGTATAAAAAAAATTGGAACAACTTATGAAAAAGTGTTTGAGTCAGTGCTACATCCCATTTTTTCACTCAGGTTTTGAAGATCACATCAGCAAGATTATGTCCTCCAGAATGCACTGATGCACTGATGTAGGCGATTTCTGAAGAGTTCAGCTGCGTTCTGGCAAATATCGATCGGAATGGCGGCGATTTCCTCTCTAATACGGATCTTCAGTTCTTCCAAATTATGAGGACGTTGCTTAAAGCCTTCTCCTTGAGGTAACCCCACAGGAAAAAATCGCAAATGCTCAAATCCGGTGATCTCGCCGGCCACCAAACGTCGCCCCTTAGAGAGACGAGGCTCGCAGGGAACATCTGCCGCAGTTTCGCCATTGAAATCTGCGCTGTGTGGGCCGTAGCCCCGTCCTGTTGAAACCAAATATCCTCAAGATGTTGTTCTTCAGCCAATCGTTCCAATTCTGGTTTGAGAAAATTTTCAAGCATGGAAACATAACGCCGAGCGGTGACGGTTGTTGTACGCCCATCCTCCTCAAAAAAGTACGGTCCAATAACCCCGAATTTGGAAATGGCACACCATACAATCACTTTCGGGGAATGGAGAGGTCTCTCGTGAATTTGTCTTGGGTTATTGTCCGACCAATAACGGAAATTTTGTTTGTTAACTGCTCCAGACAGATGGAAGTAGGCTTAATCACTACTGAAGAACGCTGACCTTGGTGGGATACGGTCTAACATTTCTTGGGCGCGATTCACGCGATTCAGAAAGTCTTGAGGCTTCAACTCCTGAACCACCATAATCTTATAGGGATAAAACGATAAATCTTTATGCAAGATCCTCCTTAAAGAGCGGTCGGACATGTTCAATGCAGTTGCGTTTCTCCTGGCAGAGCAAGTTGGTGATTGTTCGACAGCTGCTCTCACTAGAGCGACATTTTCGGGAGTTCTTACTGTTTTGGGTCTTCCCATACCCCTAGGCCTTGTTGTTGAACCAGTTTATTCCATTGCACGAACCCAACTCGCGATAACATTGCGGTGCGGAACGGGATCACGACGTGGAATGTTGAAGTGCCGTCGGAATGTCCGAGTGATGATGAAAGAACGACCGCTTTCAAAAAACGTGCGAACGCCGAAGTCGCGATGCTCTCCGCTCCAAACCATTGCTACGACTAAAAACGGGATGAGTGACCGGATCCAATGAATCCCCTCCCAGGTTCCCATCCCCATCACATCGGATGCAGGCGCCCATCACAATTGCACTGTTTGTTTTGCCGCACCCTGAATATCTGAATTTGCTTTATTATCAATGACCGAACATTATTAAAAGTTTCGATGATAAATGCAACTCCAACTACCTGAATAATGAAGTCCTCAAAAATATTTTCGATGTTATTGGAGGAGTACTGTTAAACTTAGTGAATACATCACTAAGAACCGGAAAATTCCCTGAAGATCTCAAAAATAGTACTGTAATCCCTGTTCAAAAGATTAATAATACAAATGAAGCCATAAATTATCGTCCAAAGAATACTTTACCCCCTCTTGAAAAAATGATTGAAATGGTAGTTTATAAACAATTGATCAAGTACATTGAGAGTAATAAGCTTCTCATGACTAACCAATCAGGATTTAGATCTAAACACTCATGTGAAACAGCCCTACAAGTCTCTCTATCTAAATGGAAATCAGCTATTGATGACAGGAAATATGTTGTTGCAGTATTCTTAGACTTCAAAAGAGCATTCGAGACCATCGATGTTCCGGTATGGTATATCAGGTACTGTACTTGCATGGTTTGGAAGCTATCTCTTTAACCGTACTCAACATACCAAGGTTAATGATACATGTTCAAGACAGGAAAATATCAGTAATCAACTTCCTGGAAGGATGTGAATTCATCAACCAATTTGCCGATGACACTCTCATTGCAGTTAGTGAACCTGACTTACAGACAGCAATTAATAAAATGAATGACATACTAATCAAGATTACTGAGTTTCTCAACATCAATAAACTAAAATTAAATACAAATAAAACCAAAGCAATGATTATCTCAAAAACATAGACACAATTCAATTGACAAAATATCAATAAGTATAAATTTTTATGATGAGAAAATTGATATTGTAGAGGAATTTAAATATTTGGGGTTTATTGTTGATCAAACATTGGACATGAAAAAACATTTTCAATATATCCGTGACAAAATTGTAATAGGTACTTGCCGTTTCAAACTTCTATTACAGTTTTTAAATCCATTATTCAACCCCATTTCGATTACTGTCACTGATAAATGCGAACTCTGTGTCCTCACTACAGAAGTTACAAAAGAGAGGTATGCGGTATTGAAATGTAATAGATATACACCAACAAAAACGATGCTTGAAGTTCTAAATTGGCTAACTGTAAAGGATCGCTTGTTTCATTTCTAATGATCATTTTCAAAATAATTTCTGGTAATGCTCCCTTATACTTTGATCAATTCATCATATTCCAGCATCAAATTCATAATTATTCTACCAGAGGTAATAATAACCTGTATGTACCACGCCTTAATTACACTAGTTCAATGAACTCTTTGTTCCATAAAAGACTACTAGAGTACAATGGCCTCCCAGATGAAATAAAACAAAGTGAATCTCTTAGAACATTTAAGAAACCCCTTGTTAGATATTTGAAAATGAGATATCAATAAACCTCAGTCTTTTTTGTTGTTGTCGATAGTATCGACAATAGTTCAACATAATTATAATTTTTTTCATTTTCTTTATACACTGTGTCCGTAAAGTATGGAACAAATTCGATATTTCCTAAACTAAAAGCCTTAACCAAGTAAGCAATTTAGTATTGATTGATCCAAAATTTGTTCCTTTATTGGCTTCATTTCCCTATGGTAGGTAGGTAGGTCACAAGAACTGTCAGGTAGGTACGTATGTGTAAAGGTGAGTATCAAAATTTAAAAGTACTTCACTGGAAGGGATTTGAAACTGAATGTCATGAATATCTGCACTACAAAATGAAATTTCACTTACAATTTTGAATAATCCACCAACAGATATCAATCATCTAACTAATTATGCAATGCAATTTTTAGTACCACGAATTTTCAGATAGATAGGTATCATTGAGTAACAGCATCTATATAATTTGTTGAAATGAAAAAATCGAGAAATGAATATCCGTCTAATCATAGCTTTCTGTCCGAATTGGCATCATTGTCATGTGCATTGTACTTGCACCCGCGAGAAACCAATCCAAATTGCTCGCGCAGTGACGTCACACGTTACGCGGCCATGTCTGAATCATTTGAATTCTCTTGTTCATTTTGGCGTTTTCAATAATTTCTTATACAATGAATTGATGGAAAGAATCTCAAATTTTTTTTTAATATTGGTAGAGCCATATATTTCGATATATTTCTTCTAAAAATGACTGGAAAGACCCATTATTCGAGGAAATTGAAAATAGCAATTCTTTTGGTCTCATTACAATTACTGTTGGGAATGATTAATTCTTTGTATATTTTATTATCACTCCGTATTTATTGATGACGGTGACGGTTCGAAAATTGAAGAATGTTAATGTCATATATTTTCTGATAGAAAAAGTCATTAAAACGTTAGAAGAATTTGTCAAGTTATTTTCATTTCTGAGTTTATCAGTAATAATTACCTCCTGAAGGTTGACAGTAACGACAGACTGGATAAATAAACGAACAATCACGTTTTCTTCACACCTGATTATGAAAATGATTGAAATACTTCAGTTGTAATGATATATGAAAAAATCAATTAATTGAATGATTTTTTGTTGTTACCTATTCTGAAAAACAAACTTTCAAATGAGGAAAAAAACTAACTCACCACTTGAGCCTTTTGGGTTGGCGAGCACCTACAGCAAACAACTGCAGGGGCAGCGGTTGCCAATTCCATGAACTCCTGCTGATAATAGGATAGACATACTTCCAAACTTTCGCCACTTATTACCAAAGCACAATCTTGTTTTCTCCTGTAGGCATTCAATTCCAAATGTGCATCTGTACGAGTCACAACCTTTTTCAATACATGAAGACCTAAAAATAAAATAGTGCTGAACAATTAGGTGGACGAAAGTTTTGCATAACAGAACAATGAAATGACATCATAACAAAATAACTGACTGTGAATAAATCTGGAACTTCTATTCTTCACCTTCAAGACAAACTAAACTTTTTTTGTCTCATTTGCTCTCGAGATAGAGATCCAGGACCTTTAATGAGTTTTTCAAAACTCCCAAATTGAATAAGACTATTTTTGATTTGTTTATTCAAAATTTGGAACAACGTTAGCCAGAACCTCTCAAAACTCCGATATGTGAATTTTGAAAACACTATAACTTGGTATATTAGTTTCAAGATTTAAAAGTTGAGCAGAACCAAGATTTTGAAGAAAGTATTTAAGTCAAGTGTGCTATGTAATTATGTCCAAAGAGTTAAACTTTATATTGAAATCATAAGAAAAGAAGATAACCAGAATAGACATATCTGGGTATGATAATTTCAAATTGAAGAGCAACTGTTTAAAAGACCCCGTATTCCACATTTTTCTGTCAACTTCTGTCACAAAAACTGTCAGTTGACAAAAACATACAGACGATTCATAAAAGATAACATTCCAATTTTATGTTAAGAACGGGAGCAGATTCGTTCCCGAAACGTCTAAAGCAGGTGAAAATTAAATAGTATTTATTTCTCTCTTATTTACTCAAAATTTCAATACCTAATATCTATATGGGGAAGTACCAATATTTCACGTTTGAGTCCACTAATGAAATTACAAAATAAAACATTGAAGTGTATTTTCAATTTAAATTTTCTCGAACCAACCATGAATTTATACAAACCTAGAGATTTATTAGATCTGACATCGCTATATAAACTTAAAATTTGTTGTTTTATTCAATTTGTCCTATATAAATTGAAAATTTCGAATTTAAATTTCAATGAAATCAATTCATTACATAATCATGGAACAAGACAATCAAATTTACTAATAGCAAATACGTTCAAGTCAAATATCGGCAAACAATCAATTTTTCACACAGGAATCGTTCTATACAACTCATTACCAAGTCATTTGAGGAATATACAGGAAGCAACTAGATTCAAAATTAACTTAAAAAAATATCTGCTTCAGAGACTTTGATAATTCCATTTCTTATTTGAATACCTACTTATAAAAGACTAGGTTGATATTGCATGATTATTTGCATTTTTTTTTTTTTTTTTAACTTGTTATATCTCATTATAATTTCATAATTGTATGTATAACATTATGTATAATGTTTATGTATCCCTATTATAAACAACTATGTTTCTTGGGGTAATAAAGACAATCAATCAATTTAAGGGGTTAAGAAGAACTAAAATTTGGTTTATAGAAAATGGATGACACTTTTTGATAAATTGTTGCCAAAATGACTTGTTGCCAAAATGATGTTAATCCACAACTAATCATCACTTTAATAATCAGAGGACTCAGGAACAACATTTTTCAATGACAAAATATGTATATAATGGAGTCATGAATAAATCAGGATTTTATGGATTCGTACACATAAAATTCATAAAATTACTTTTTATATTCATTCCTTGCTCGCACAAGTCTTTCGAAGACTTCTGAGGGTTGCTCGTAAGGGGGCAACCGAATGACGGATAGAACAATTTTAGAACAATTTTTTTTTTACAATATTATATATAAATATATGTGCCAGTTCCAAAAAATAAACCAATAACACCGTCTCCGAGAAAGAACTGCAAGTCCTTTTTATCTTCCATTCCACTTCGCGGCTACGTAAATTACTTAACAACCACTAAGTTAAAATCACAGGATTAAATTGACAGATATTTGATTACTTCAAAAGGTTTCCATAGCAACAAAGATGCCTGCAAAAAGATGTCTGCAACGCAGGTGTAATTGTCGCAGCCTTCCAGTTACAAATTCAAATTTCACATTGATAATTTTCTGATTTTAATACATTTTAATATCTTCTCAATATCATATCGTCGTTTTTCCTGTCACAGAAGAAAACGTGTATTATACACAGGAAAAATATTAGATTGTAGCTTTCGGTTTTTTGTCTCCCTCTGCGATGCGTCGGGAGCTAAGGACTAATACTTTTTTCCATTCTATAATAACTATTTACCTTGTGTTCTAGATACCAATCTGGAACTTTTTGCAATACAAGTAGCAGTTTCTAATTTGTCGCCGGTCAACATCCATATTTTTATTCCCGCATTCCTGAGTAATTCCAAAGTCGCCCTGACATCATTCTGCAGCTTGTCCTCGACGCCAGTTATGCACAGCAATTCCATTTCTCGTTCCAGAGATTCGACTACCTGTGCTACTCTGGCAACCCTGTCGATGGTCGACAGACGAGCGGCATTATAGCGAGCCTAAAATAATTTTGCGGATGCAATAACCACACTGACCGCATTAGAAACCAGAACAAAACACTCCCGGGCATATGGCAGACCCGTTCATATAGGCGAACCTAGGCGACGGACTATGACGTCAAAATTGGGAAAATAGCTATTTACATATCAAAGAAGCAAAGTTATCCATTTCCTCCCGCGTGTGAAGTTGCGAATATATTTGCGAGAGCGTCTTTGTTAAAATTGTCTCCCGAGTCTCGATGTTACAGTACAGACAGTATTTGAATCTGAACGAAAATGTGTAATTGCAGTTTCGATTGAGTAAGTTTGGAATATGAGGAAGTGTATGAGATCATTGGAATTCAAAAATGAAATTGTCATTTGTTTTATAATATTCGCGGGAATCAATGTTACCAGGTGGCGCTCGATTTTCATCGTTCCATGTCAAAGCCACGTCAAAACTGGGGGAAAACAAACTCAATCCTCACTCAATCCCATTAGTGCCATTAGCTTGTGTACTGTGTACTGATAAGAGGGATTTTTTTAAATTTATTGACATTAATTGTCAATATTCGATCGAAAACGCTAATATAATGCCTGTTGTAGATGTCCTTTTGGCAGATATTTTGCTCTATTTAAATGGAAAAAGCCGACCAGTAGTGAAAAGAGAAGCAGTTCTCCGTGCTAATCATGTGATTTCGTGTGAGGCAGAAGACTTCAACAAAAGGCACATTTTTGCACTTTGTCTACAAACTTCGGCGATGATATTTTCCCCACATGAAGTGAAATTGAAGTTGAGGTCCAGAGCAACTCCTGTAGAACAATGGATTTGTATTTGTTCCTGCAAAGCAGGACAATCTGGGTATTGTAAACATGTTGTAGCTATTCTTTTATGTCAATTGATTTGCTCGTTTGTTTGACTACAGCTACAGCAAGCTGAATGCAATGTAGTCTATGCACTTCATCCATAGACAACAGTTTGTTTTCCCCCAGTTTGAAATTCGTATTATGTAACCTAGATGTCGCCCACTTCGTGAATCTCGCGAATAGTAGTGATGGAGACACTGGTTAGGTACTTGGGTAGTACAGATCTTATCTTATATGTATATATTTACCAAGGAAGCAAGCTAAAGAAAATTTATTTCACCTCCAACGGGAGGTAATATTTTGTTTCCTCCCGTGAGAGTAAATTGACAGGGGCAAACGCTGACTTTTGTTGCAGTGAGTAGGTGTACCGCAAATACCAGTATTAGGCCCAGTTTCCTTCTTATACATCAATGATATAAGCTTCATCAACATAAGTGAGTCATTTATTCTATTTGCTGATGACTCAACACTCCTTATTTGGAATAACCGTGAATAAAATAGCTCTGACATAGTATCTGATCAAAGAATGGTGTGATTAAAAACAAAGTAGGACATTCAAATACTTTGAACATTCTCTTGTAATGGGTACATACATACATTATCAAAAGTAAATTCAATTTGAAGTTTATTGGGTTGCATATCAATAAACGATTGAAATTTATAGTCATGTGATGAATTCAGTAATAAATTGGCATAAGGGGATTATACTATTAGTCGCAAATGAGGGTTTTTCTATTTAAAAAATGGTAAGTGCTCTAAAAGAACCATTTGGGAGGCAATCACAGATCAGTGAAAACAAGACAGAATACAGTACGTGAAATAATCTATATCAGTGCCTATTTTTTCCATAAATTTGTATAGTATAGGCTATCAAATATTCTCATACACTATTCTGTAAATTCTTTTCATGAAGAAAGCTACCAATCTCTATACCCTCTTTGAATGACTTTTCAGATTTGTAAACATCTATAATAGAATTGGTTAATATGGAAAGATATACCAGAACAATTTTAATTTGTATTTAATCAAATTCAACACACACTTGAAGACTGAATTTGACTTACCTCAAAATCGAGATACTGTTCTTCAGTAAGATTTTTCTTTGCAACTACAAGTGTTCTCAAACCATCTCGTGCCATGTTGCCTACTTCTTCGTCTAACCAATCGGTGTATTGAACTATCGCAGACATAACAACATCGGCTCCTTTCAGATAGAAGATTATTTCTCCAGTAAGCAGATCCTGGAAAGAGTTGTGATATACGGTAACAGACTCATTAGAATAATTATTTTTTGAAAAATAATAGGTGGTAACCGCTTTTCTAAGGCTACAACTTATTTGTGAATATTGAAAGTACATTCGTTTGTGAATGATTGGACTTTTGAAATATGTCCTGTCATGTCGAGAACACAATACCAATCAAGTGGCCGCCGCCAGAGTTGATGCACACTTGCGCGTGTATTTTCTATCACTTCTCATAAAATCCAACATTTTCTCTTCAATGTTGTCCTTTGCCGCTGTCAAGATTTGTGACTTGTTCACATAAACGCGCCACTTCAAATAATCCCACGAATAGAAGTCTGATGCTATCAAATCGGGCAATTTTGACGGCCAATACAACACCAAAACTGGAAATTAAGCTACCGGGAAACATCGCAATATCCTCGTTCTTGAGGAGTGTATTGTTTAATGACTTCTTCACTAATGTCAAAGCTATGAAGACAGATAACTTATGCAAATCATCTGTAAATGCCTTGAATCTTTACACTAACAAGATGATCCACCTCTTTGTAAAATGTTGAAGCCAAATTTGGTCTCAGTTCTTGGCTGGTTCGTAGGCGGTGCCAGCAAAACTTGGCCGATTTGTCTATACCCTCGAAATCTGCTCGAGTCCATCTATCTTCAAGTTGCTGAACTATCTAGGAATATCCATCTTTCTGAAGCAGGAAAATCACTCTCTGATATTCTGAAGGCTTTCAAATGAAAATATTGATCTGGCCCTGATGCGACATTCCTTCTTGCATAAAAACATCCAAAAATAAACTTCGAATATATTCTGCATAACCGATTCCTACCCTTCGGTACTCAGCAAAAAGTAGTTCACCTTGTCGCTTATACATACCGCCACCTACTGAATAGAATTTCTAACAACATTGCTCTCACAAGGATGGTTCATCTTGTTAGTGTAAACACAGTATACATACACCCCTACTGAAAACAGTTATTTCAGGCAGGGCAGGTGTTTTGTTTACACTTTTTGACTTCTTTGATTTATATGCCTTTATGATTCATTCTGTGATAGGAACCGATCACGATTTATTTATATTTTATCCTGATTGCTGGTATCATTATTATTGTGCTTCATAAACTTTATATGTGAGGTCACTGATTTCTACTAGCTTCTGGTGATCCGTCTCACTTTCGAGTGCTATTGATATTACTGTTCATGGATCTGTTTATCATTAGAAGATAATGACTGCCTACTGTTTTATTTGTAACATAAATAGTTGGACAGATTGCAGTTCATGTTTCCTCATATTTCTAAAATATGAGCCAGGGTAAGAAAAAGTGTATCCACAAATATCTATGATCTGTTTGTTATCCATTAACATTATTTTTTCGTTATCATAAACACCGTGTGGTGAAAACCCTAATGCTTAAATTTTAATTTCAATGGTAAATGCGTAGATAGGCTATGTATTTGAAGCCGGTCCTGTTCATATAAAATTCAGGGACTTCACAGCATTTCTGTGATGTCGAGCGAGTCGTTAATGGCTTGTGATTAGCTCGACCAAGCCCGAAACGCGCAAGTCTGTGCGTGGTGGTATGCGCACTGGTCTGGCAAAAAATGAAACTTGTGAACACCAACATCAAACGTTCCGACACTAAGTGAAATTACTGTTTTCCGTAAGGGTGTATACTGTGGTGTAAATAATCAAGGGGAGAGGTGATAATAGTGAATACCAGGAGGAAAAATTAGATACCTTAACGATGATCCCCATTCTCTTCGTTTCACTAGTAAATGGGAATATCTGCAAGATGGCGTAGTTCATTAGCCTACCGTCGGGAGACCTGAGTTGCATCGAAGACAAATCTCTGCGGCTCAATGCCAACCCGACCTCGTGAGTCCACTGAACTAAGGCCACTTCATCCGGACTGGCGGCCTGATACATAACGTCGGTTTCCGGCATCTGCAAGTGTTGGTCGGCCTCTGTTTCCGAGGTCAATGAGCCGGAATCTGGAATACGAAAGGAGCAGGGTGAAGATAGTATCAGTGGTGTAATTAGGATTGTTTTCTAGGGTAATTGATGAATATAGCAATGGTAGGAATGCTCGAGACCGATATTGGGCCCGCATGGCGGCAAAGTCCGACTTTGAGCTACCTGTTTTTCTTTTGAAATAAAATTACATGAAAAACTCAACATTTGTACCTGGATCTTTTTTGTCGTTACTTTCGTATACAGGCGTTACATTGTGGCACAATGCTAGAGCCTGAACAGCGTCTCTGACTCTGGTGTTTTCAGATCGCCTGAACTTTTCTGATCCCAATTTCGCATTATCAGTGATACTGAATGAGCTTCTTAAAACAGAAGTAACCTAAAAATACATTCATACTCAATTAGTTTTTTGCAACTCCAAAATTAATATAAATTATTGATCCTCCACTAACTCTTTTCACCTATCCAATTTTATTTATTGAAATTGTGCCTCTGAATGATTCTGCTACATTTTGAAATGTGCTATTTTATTATACCTTTGATTTTTGGAATCATGTGGAATAAATTCACTAACAATCAAGTTGATAATAAACAATACCGTTATACTGATATTCATTGGACACTAGAACACATTTTTGTATTTCTATTGAATACCTCACCTCATCAAAACTATCAGAGGCATAACTAACAGTGCCCAAATGTAATCTCTTCAAGACCATGGAATTTTGCGTGAGTGTACCGGTTTTATCGGACAGGAGATATGAAATTCTCCCAAGTTCTTCAGGTATTGTTGTGCAACGCACAGTGGTACCTTTCATAGCAGGATCTTTGCCGATCGACCATGAATAGAATGACTTGCCCATGTCCAAATTTACTCTCAAACTAGAACAAATCTTATTCAGTAGAGAAATGAATACAATTGATGTAAGATAGTTACCTTATAGGAATTATGTAAGAGAAAAGTAATACGAATCTGAACATGTATCTGTACCATGGTCCACTAAAACCTTTCAAGGCCATCATGATCAGAGCTAAGCCAATCACAGCGGCAAATAATAGTTTGGTTATGGTGTTCACCTCAATGTCTAGCAAACCTACTTTAGAACGTGGGGCCGAATTATTCATGACTGATCGTGTTTCAGGACCTAAAAATCATTTGCTAAAACTTCCTGTGTAGTAAGGATCGTGTGAATATAAGAAGAATTTTAAATATGTGGTGTTGAGTGACTAGAAAGCAAAATTATTCATCACACATTATTGCTTACCTGTATAAATAACAACTCCTGTAGCTTGTCCTGAAGCAACAACACAATTTGTCCACAGAGTGTTTTCTAAATCCAAGCTCTCATCACTATTTATTAAATCCTGCTAGAATATCAAAACCACATGATCTAACTATACAAAGATGAGAAAATATAATAGTAGGGGAGGCAAAGAGGCTAAATAGGGATTTACTGGAGCGTCGTGGGGACGTATCAGATTGTGAAGATTAGATGCGAAAATGAAAAAAAGTTTATATGATATATGACCTTTCACTAGTGGGGAGTGTGTACAAGTGTTCAAAAATGTAAAGAAAAAACAGCGCATCAGATATTGATAGTGTATACGCCTCACGTGGTTCTGATAACCGAAAACTATTAATCTGCCGGTTTGCATGGTGGGAGTGGCCGTACGAAGGGCTAGAGTAAAGGTAAATAAAATGTATTCGAGCCCATCAGATATTAAGAAGGGACGTTAAGTGAACCCTCAAGTAGCTCCTATTCAAAAGACTGACGATTCGGACGCGACCAAAAGTCATGATCAATTTTTGAAAATGACAAAAAAAATCCTTGAAATACTCGATCTCGTCAGATTATTATACCGACGCTTCATCTTAATGTTCTTGTCGTATCTACCCATAATTCTGACAATTATATAGAGGAATTACCTTAACCTGACGGTTGGATTTTTTTGTTAACTGAATGTGATAACTGAAATTTGAAATATACAGGGTGGGTCAGTTTTTGTAGCAGGACTTCAACAGCTCGAAGAATACACAATTTTGAGATGGAAGGCTCATGTAGATAGACAGAGTGGACCAATAGTGTGGCAAAGTGAGATAACGACTTTGCTGTTTGAGATAGATGAACAAAAATTCTTGAGATGGTCTAGTCTCATGGGCAGTACATTTCTGAAATATTTCGCGTTATACAAGGTTACTCAAAAATGCGTGGCATATTATAGCACACCTTGTATTTTATTGCATTTTCAGATTCCTCCTTATGAGCTGATTCCGGTCTATATCACACTTTAGTTTTAAGAGAATTCATCACAGAGAAATAGCATTGATATATACGAAGTGATGCTTTTCATGATGCAGTTTCCTATGTTACCACAATTACATACATAGTTCCCAGTGGCTGCAAGCACCACACTCAATTGATGATTTTCGCAGGTTATGTTATATCCGTGATCCTTGACTAATTGCCTTCAAAATAAAAAAAATTAACCGCGCATGAGAATGTACAGGTGACGATTTTTTTGCAACTCTGTGGCTCTCCCATTTCCTTATATCACGCTAAAATCGTCAGATTATTGAAATGCACACTTTTCTGCATGTAATTAACGTACCATGTCTCAATCTCACGCGCTCCAGTATTTCTAATGATCGATTTTTTTTACTAATCTGATCGGCTGCCCTTAATTTTCGACTCCATATAAAGGGCCCAGGTATGGTGGGAGTACTTTACAAGGTCCAAGGATACCCCCTTATGTTAATCTGCCGCGCTCGAGTAAATCCCGAAATCCCCGCTTGGGCTTCCCTACTATAAACTTACTCTTGTGAAAGTTCCGATGAAAGAATGTATGTCTTTCTGTGGTTTCTCGGCATAAATAGTTGCATTTATTTCGAATAATTGTTGATCAGACGCCGATTTTTGAGTTGCTGGGACGGCCAGCCTCAACTTCCAATCTGTCTCACCATCTAACTGGTCAGTTCTGACGAAAACTGAGCCACTGCTTTCGGAAGTTCGTAGCAGAACTAAATCAGCAGGGACACGTTCGTCTTTATCCACAATGATTATATCACCAACCTTCATAATTGAAAACATTAATAGGGAAGTTAAACAAGATGATAATTATAAACGGAAACTGTAATATTTTCCCCAATGAGCAAGTTTCCAATATTGAAATTTCAATGTTTCCAATGCACATTTTATGAATGATTATTGAAATTCATGAAATACACGTGACGAAATTTTCCGTAACCAATCCAGTAACTCATATACGATTAGGCTAGGCATATATAGATTCTCAGAGGAAAGTTTTGCTATAGCTCTGATTTTCTCACCATCCATGTTTTTTGAGTTGCTGAACACAAATTTGCAGTTTGCAGGCAAAAATTTCGCCTGAAACTTTGTTTTTTTGACACTTTTTGCTCAAAATTTAGCATTATCTTGGACAAAATTTCCTGATTTTTTAAATCAATATTTTTTCTGTAAGACTAACAATTCCACCGCTAGGGCACACCAAAATAATCCATATAGGGAGAGTAATTGAAAAATGGGAGACAAACAAATGGAACGCAGTTTTCAATGAAAAAGTTATGTACAGTGTATTATTGTCAGTAGTACAATATGTGTATATATATTGAAAAGGAATATTCTCAGATAAATCATGAACATACAAAAATGGATATATATATATATTTATATAAAGCAATACATTGAGAATTCGCATTCTCTATGTGATGATAAATAGTTATTTGTTTAACTAGGCAGCAAAGTAGTAGATTGACTGCCGAGTTGAACATATAATTTTTTCTCCGATTGTTCATAATGATATATGTATATCTCTTTATTTTTCCTGTAGTGTTCAATTAAAATAAAATTTGATCGAAATCGCAGTTGTTGAAATGGTTGGTTGCTATGGAAATGTCCATAATAATCATAGTTTGACACTTCATGAAATTTCTGACAGTTGTGCGAAAAAATATCGGTATATTTAAATTATTATAAAACGGACAGTGATAGCGACCTGGAAGTACTTACACCTCCAGAAATAAGGGAGGTGGCAAGAAATATAAAGTTGAATTTGTTGCCGGAGAAGTCTCGGATGAAATATGAAGGAAATTATAAACGATTCATGGATTATTATTTTGCTGATACATATCAATCAGCCTAGGCAGGAAAAGTAATACTTTGCTGATTGATATGTGTCAGCAAAATCAATATTTGCTGCCAATCGAAGAAAAAATACGTTTTCTCTTTGGCGAAGACCCATGAGGATGACCAACAGTTCAATGTCCCCCCCAACCACCACCAAAGTCTCAGTACGTTCAACCAGACAGGGCTTCGTTCACAATGGCGGAGTCGGCATCTTCTGTGGCCTGTCTCCATGTCACTCCTTGAGAGTGTAACTTGGCTATGATCATAGATATCAATCCCTTTTTGTTGTTCATATTTGCCAGGAATTTTGCTTTCTGTATGGTCCGGTATCATGTTCTCATTAAATAGAATGTCTGCGGAAATCGTTTTCATAGATCTCTTCAACCGTTCAGCACTTTCTGTTCCACCTTTCATACCTTGGGGATTTCCATCAAAGACAACTACTGTGTGTGGGGCCCATACACGTTAATGACATAGTCAACATACCTGTTGCATATTGCAGATAAGGGTTGCTTCTCGGGCCAGACAACTTTGTGTAATAATAAGAACCCATCGTCGATATAGCCTTGATCTTCGATAACATATTTTACTTTTCCGCTGGACAACTTGTCTTGTATGGTACAAATGCTTTGTATATAGCAGATTTGATTTCTTTAGGAAAGGTAAGGCACTATATAATATTTACGTCTAGGAAGTGGCCAACAATATAGACCAATCACATTGTGCACAAGTTGGGCTTGCGTGGTGAACACGGCTACAACTGAGAAAGACGAGGACAAAGAAACAACATTTTAACGAACTGATCTGCTTCATATTTAGGAATCATGACGGCCCATAGGAAATATGAGTTCATCATGAATCATTTATGAACAACAGTATCATAGCATTGGCGATTTCCTCGAAAACGGAGAAATTCACTTATTGACGTGCACTAGCGGCGGAATGGTTAGTCTTTCAAAAAAACGTTATCCATAAATAATTTAGAGTAACTTGTCGTCTTTCAACTTGTATTCAAAAGGCTTGTCAAACAACGCTTTCCTTTTGAGATATCTGAAATGTGCTAAAGTTTGAGCAGAAAGCGTCAAAAAAAAAACAAAGTTCTGGGCCAAATTTTTGCCTGCTAACTACAAATTCATGTTTAAGGACCCAAAATACATGAAGGGTATAAAAATCAAAACTATAGCAAAACTTTACTCTGAATGCCCCTTTCTTTCCTAATATGCCTAGTCTATATGTGTTGAGTGTAATGCCACAGTATATTATAAAGGATAATATACTGTGGTAATGCATACGTATCTCAGTACATTCCTGAAAGTGAATGGGAAAGTTTCCTATATTGAGGTTTTAATCTCACTGTGTAGTTTGTAAAAAATTAATATAAACGTATTTTTTCTTTATTTCGTAAGATTAAATTTCACTTCAGAAAATAAAATAAAAGAGGAACTTGGCTCCTCCACCATTCCTATGACGTACTTTCTGAAAATCCACATTTACACAGAGTTAGAATATGATTTCCTGTGCCAGTACGACGTTACCGACATTATAAATATGTCTAGATTTCCGGAAATTGTTCTTTGAATGTATATAACAGCAATGGGATATAATAGGTTCTTCAATCCTACTTTGTCAAGTATTATGAATTCCCATCAATCTCTCATTGGCTGAATGAAATTGATTAGTAATAAAGATAAATTATATTTTGCGATAGTATCCATAATTTTTCACTATCGTTATATAACAACATGTTATTCATAACTTGTCAGTCATTTTTTTGCTAATGAATTCGTTCCTTTATAAAACGGATCTATTTTCTAGGAAAGTTGTAGATTATATCATGCAACAGCGCCTAATACTTCGAGACCGTTCACACCACTCAAAATACTGACAGGCACAACAAGAGGAAGGAGAAGGGTAAGGAGGAGAGGAAGGGTGTCGGCTTCATTTTCTTCTGACCGATGACAGTAAATTAGGAAGGATAGTATCATTAAATGTACCCGATATTGATTCACTGATTCAATGGTATTTTCGTTCAGGGTGGAGCTCTATTCGAGATATTTCAATGCATAAATAACAAAGCCATAACCTGTCAGAATGAAGCCAACTACCTTCTGCATTCCTGCTCCGAGTGCAATTGTGGTTATGTATGTTTTTGTTTACCAGTTTTACTTCTTCTTCTATTTTTTTCATTCGTGTTTCTTTCGTTAGCTATTCGTTAGTTATTCGCTAGCTATATTCTTCGCCATCAGCTATTTTCAATTCAGAATGTACATGACAGTTTGCCGCACCGAAAATTAGAAATTGCAATTTGAAAATAAAAACGACTCGGACTTTATCGGTCGCCATTCTGTACAGCGTGGACATAAAACTGGAGAGCTCCGAACTTATTTTATGAAAATTCATTTGAAGGAAACTTCCCCATTCTTAATTCAATGTGGAATGTTGATATATTTTGTTGAGAAATATGACACTATTGCTGCTCGTCATGGAGAGTAAGCATTTTTGATGGGTGATTATTTTCATTATGAAAAAAATATTTGTGATTTCAAATAATGAGTTACTGTATCAAATATTATCAATACATGGAACGATCAATATAAAATAGATATGTTGAATCAAAACATATGTTGAATAGCACTGAATGAAAGAAACTTTTTGAAAATGTATTCTGGACCAGCATTTAACATTGATATGAAATAGATGTGATGATTCATGAAAATGTCATCCTCATCTGTTCTTGTCTTCAGTGTTCCAACATAAAATATTGAATATTTTAGGTTGGCAACACTGGAAATGAACGGAAATGGAGAAGAAGACTATGAAGAAGACCATTCTAACCTTTTTTTATAATTGAGGTTAATATGATCTTCTTCTCCATTTTCCCATTTCCAATGTTACTAACATCAAATTTTCATTATTTTACCTTGGAACACTAAAAGACAAGGACAGATGGAATGACATTTTTTCTCTCTCTCTAGGCTAGATACTAAAACTATTGATGAAGATTTCCATGCTACAATTATAGGATAAGATTTGACTTCAATAATATTTCAAGGCAAGTTTATCTTCTGGAGTTGAAGGTTGTTTCAATGTTTATAATAAAATTAGTATTCTTGCCCCTTTCAAATATTCTTTAATCCAATTTGATTACAAAACTGAATCAATCTGTTTGGTTTTCAAAATATTGAAGTATTGTTATTGTTTCATCATTATTCAGAAAACAAACTTTGTCAAAGTGGATTGCATTTTTTTGTTGACACTTCTTGAAGGAAACTGAAGGAAATGAGATTTTTTTTATTTTCAAGTTGAAAACAGGAGCAGATTTGTTTTTGTTGCTCATGAAACATTTCAAGTATTTTTGCAATATTCTGCTTCCAGAAATTCCCAAAAATTTGGAGAAATGAATATTCTACTTTCCTGATGAATCTACAGACAGTAACTAGAATGAATATATTGGGTGAGGAGTTCATCCCAAAAAATATGAAACATAAACCAATCAACTTTATGAGTTTATCATTTTTAGTGAACAGCTGGATTGAAAATGTTATTTCTCACATAATATTACATTTATCAGTAATGAATGTTCGCTACAAATTCATATACTTACTTTGAGTCTATGTGCAGCCACAATTTCAAATGGTTTATCTCTATTATTTAGTAACCTTTTGCATTTCTGGTTGTTAACTTCTTGGTCTCTTTTATGTCTTCGTAAATCATCAATTGCTTCTCTGGATATTGTAACCAAAAGTACAAAGCACTGAAGAGATGATTTATATTAAATTCATTATGCTTTGCTCATATTAGATGTAGCTCACCAGTGGTCCCCAATATGTGTATAAATACCCAATCCTTATATCAGGAACAAACTGACTTGTGGCCATGATTAAGAAGTAAAGATTCAGAAAGAATTTGAATTGCTGATAGAGGACCAGGGGCAAGAATGTTATTATGTTGTATTTCTGATTTCTGATAGCATTGGCAGGGAACTGGCTATTTGATGGTTTTCCAAGTAATATCGTCCGCGACCTTAGTTCTCGTGGACCACAACATCGTCGGATAGCAGAACACCAACAGCTGAAATGTTTATAATCCATAATTATCTGATGAACTCAAGATTTTACATTTTTTTATGAAGGAAGTGTTTATCATACCTCCAGGATGACTCCCTAGGAGCCTTTGTTATCAAAGGAATATCTTCTTTTGACATTTTCACGATACTTGTCTGAGATTCGTTTGTATCCATATTCATTGGTGAATTCACACCATGAATATGGATCATCGAGATTATACAGACTGATCACAAGTTTTTTTTAATCAACAACAACAGTCTCACGGTTTTGATGTTTTCTAGTCTACAAGTTTTCTATATTATGTTTATTTTGTTTTCCACGTCATGATTAGAATTACCAATTGACCAAACATCACCATCACAAGTTCATAAGAGAATTGAGACTGAGAGAAGAGAACGAGAATACACCACAACAGATCAAAAAATCAAAACAAAGAATGAAAATGAAAATAAAAAGTCAATGAAAGTATCAAAACCAATCAAAACCAAAACTGATAGCAGGAGCTGGTGGAGTATTTCTGCACTAAATGTATATGTTTCTTTCTTGCTCGCATGTGTTAAACAGAAGTAAATACACACCAGTAGGGTCCCTTGATCGAAATTGACGTTAAAGTCATCATAACAGGGTACGGACAGATCATAGCTGCATTCTTTTTTAATGATCTAGAGATTTTAGTTTTGTCTACTGGCATCCCTGACATTGCTGTCACGTCACATCCATGGGCGTTACAGAAAATCATTCAAAATTTTAATTATAGTTATGTACAGGGTATTTACTTGTTGAGGAAGATCATATGGCGAACGGGTTTTGTAATCATGATCCGATTCTATTCAAAATTGGAAGGTATGTGGGTTGTGGGTTTCCGGGGTTGGAGATGATGATTGTTTCGTCAAACTTGGAAAATTCAAGATGACGGATCCAATATATAGCAAACGAAATTTCCAATTATGATCTGATTCTATTCAAGATTGGTATCTGAGGGTTTTCGGGGTCGAACTTTATGATTTTTTATCAAAATTGGGGAATTCAAGATAGCGGATCCAATATGGCGAACGAAACTTGTAATTATGATCCGATTCTATTCAAAAAATCAAAATCGGTATCTGGGGATTTCCGGGGTCGGAGATTATAATTATTTCGTCAAAATTGGAATATTCAAGATGGCGGATCCAATATGGTGGATGAGTTTTGTAATGAAGATCCGATTCTATTCAAAATTGATATCTGGAGGTTTTCGGGGTAGAAGATAATGATTGTTTCGTCAAAAATTGAAACATTCAAGATGACGGATCCAATATGGCGAAAGACATTAGTTTATATAATTATTACTCTACCACAAGTAGAAAATATGTAGAATGCAAAAGTGAAAATAACGTGCCTATAAGTTATACTGTGTATACTTAACGTATACCTACTTCTTTGTTACTTTCATCAATAAATTATTCGAAAAAGACTCTCTATTCAAAAGAGACGGAAAAATCATATTTATAACATGGGGGTGAAGTATATTCTATTCTTTATTTTCCTGCACATTTTACGTATTAATTTTTATCAGCCTACTTTTCGTCCTAGACGAAGAGTCTTCTACATAGTGTGATATTAGTAACTCCATGAATTCTTCTCCGAGTTGGATTTCTGAAAAAACATTTAGCACACATGACATGCGTACTTACAGTAGTCCAGATACCCACATCGAGGATCGAGGTTTCCACCATTTCTCAATCATAAGGCACAGCTCATTCAGCTCATAGGTAAACTACTGCTCAGCTTGATATCAGAATTTATTCAGTCAATTACCCTGGTATACAGTCTAAGAACAGTATCTTTTGGTGAAATATATTGAGCTTCCAGTACAATTTATATGTTCCCTAAATCGCACAGATTATGCTGGAGTAGTAAACTATGAAACTAGAGGATTGTTCAGCTATATCTTGGTATAGTTGAATCAGGAATTCTATATAGAAATTACGTATGATACGCCAGTGACCTCAATATAACCTAAAAAACAACGAATGTCAGAAATCTAGTGTTTATCCCCAGAATTGAATAAGGATAGAACTATATAACTGTTTCACAAACACTTTAGAGTGAGAGGAGACGAGGATCTGTCCGTACCCTGTTAAGATGACTTTAACGTCAATTTCCATCAAGGGACCCTACACACCAGATGTTCACCAAAACAAACCTTGCCATACATCAAGAAAAGAATCCAATCTGAAGAGGACATAACCACAAAGCCCACAACAATAAAACAACACAACTGACGTAAGTCTTAGTCCCAGTGGCCCCATAGCCCAAAGCCATGTGCGATAGAGAATATTTCAGGGGCGTCTCCAGGACTGATGGATGATAATCATGATAATAGACCCATGACTACCCCTTAATGACTACGACGGCGTGTTGGTGCCAAATAGAAACAAAATTTTAATCTCCAAATTTTGAGAATTTGATTTCAAAGTTTCGAGAAAAAAAATCGAAATTGTAAACAAAAAAAAATTCATATTGAAAAAAAGTCGAAATTTCCTGATGGATAAGAGGGAAAAAAAGTAATAGATTTTTGCCCGCGGTTGTGTTGTCTCCCGACGAGTAGCGGAAGGATACAAAAAACCGAGAGTTAAAATCTAATAATATTTTCCCGTGTATAAATAAAAACCATTTTTTTCTGTGATAGGAAAAACGACGATTCAATATTGAGAAAATATTACATTATAATAAAATCAGAAAATTATCTATGTGAAATTAATGTTTCCTGGCATCTTTTCGTAGGCATTTTTATTAGTGCTATGGAAACCTTTTGAAGTTATCCAATATGTTTCAATTTTATTCTGTTTTGATTTTAAAAAGTTGCGAAGAGAATTAGTAATTTAGGTGACCGCGAGGTGGATTGGAAGATGAAAGTACTCACCTTTTTACCGTGGGAAACTTTATGAAAAGTGACATTTTGTAATCTGTCAACAGAAGTAAAGTGTCAAATTTTCTTTCCGTCACAGAAAAAACATTTTTTTTATTGGGGTTAAATATCAACAAACCTTATATGACAACATAAAAATCAGCAGAATAACGTTGAAACGACTTTCAAATGCTTTACATTTTGATATTAGTTTCGAAGAATAATCTTGGCTATAAATATACAGTGTGTCCCGCTTTTCATGAATACACCCTGATCTCTCAGTTATTAATGATACGATTTTCTTGAAATTTTGGTGGTGATTGTATGTTAAATCACTCTGCTAAATACTTCATTGTTTTTACATACAATCACCACCAACATTTCAAGGAAATCGCATCATTAATAGCTGAAATAATATTCATGAAAAGCGGGACACACTGTATAGTAGGTGAGTGCTAAAATAGGATATTGTTTAATGAGCAAGGAATGGCAAATGCTGCAAATCATACGAATGGGAAATTAGCATTCCATACAAGTTATACACAATACTTTTTCTATGGTAGTGACAGATAACAGTGAAATTTTCTATTTCTTCGGAATTTTGAGATTATATTCTGGAAATTTTGAGTTTATTCTCAAAAGTTTGAGTTTATTCTAAAAATTTCGAGATTATATCCCCAGTTTTTTTTTCAATCACTACAAGTACGAACTACCATTTATATACATGAGAATACATGTGATTGTTTGTTTATGTTGTTATATAATAAATCATTCTTCAAGTTATTATTCTTTATAAGAATTTCATTATCATTAAATTTCATATTCAGTATAATATTGTTTAGGTTCATGGTTCATTAAATACAAATATTGAAGTTCATTTATCAACTTTAGGTGCTGAATTTGAAACATAAATGGACGGCTATCGAGTTGGTTCCAAAAAACATTATAACATCCAATGATTGTAATACTAGACATATCCATATTGGGGCGGTTGGTCATTCAGTCATTTCCTTTCAACTGGCAACAATGTGTTGACATATTGACGTCACTATCAACCCTGTGTGAAAGCCCTTTAAGCATTAATTTTTTTCTGAAAAAATGTGATATACTTACACAAGCACACTAACCTATTGGTGGAACAAAAACCTGATCAAAAAAATCTTGTGAACTAACAATGGAGGGAGGGAAAATAGAATATAAATACATAAAATATAAAAAGAATGTGATGTATACTCAACCCTAGCAGACTATGACTTATTAGTGAAACAAATATCTGGAGGAAAAAAAAACTATTCACTTTCTTCAGTGACAGAACCTATAATAGTTCTTATTTTAGCTAGTATGTGAATATAGTATCTTCTGTGCTTCAGATAAGTTTGTCTTTGATTATTTTGTTTTTAAATTCTCCATATTTTCCCTTTAGATTAGAATAATCCATTCAAAGGAAGACTTTCCTTACCTGCAAAAATAACTGCCTACACTACTGTGTCGTTTTGGATTTCTATTACTTCTGGCAGTATGGACATCCATATCTCTGGCATTACTTGAATTTTCCAATAGAAGTGTTGTTTCTTGATCACAGTCTAATAAATCTTGCATGGGATAGTCCATAACCAAAAAGCTACCCTTGTTGATTCAAGTCATATCATCAATATCAATAATGAGTAAAAATAACAACATACTATCAATTTTCACTGCCTCGTAGAAGTTGTTCATGTATCAATACCTTATCAATACTATGACCAATACGTACATTCATTGGTAGATTTTTTTCCACAATGTCTACAATTTCAATTTGATAATTTCAACTTTATTTTTAGAAAGTAGATTGTAGATACTAAAATTACTAGATACTGAAAAGTGATGAAGTGAAAATTGTGAAAGATCTTGACAATGACAGGAAACACTGACAGTGACAACACGATATCCAGCAGAGGGGTCTTTTTCTAAGTTCATTGGTTTTCTATGACCACTACCATAGATGAACCAAACCCCTACCCAGTATTCACTATCGACACTACCATACCACACCATACCACTACGAGAACGATTCAAAGAAATGTCTACGGTTACGATGAGCAAAGGAAACTAAATAAGAAGAAGACAAAAAAGAGAAGAAGTTAGCTGAGTGAGATGGCGAGAGTGTATGAGCGAGACAGAGAAAGAGAAACAAAAACTGTTGGCTGGCTGCAGTGTTGCCAACTCACTGGATTTCACACAACAACTGGTGGTTTGAGTTTTCGTTTTGTGACAAAATAAGGCATCTAGTGGATGGTATTTATTTTAATGATTTTTTTCAAATAAATGGTGAAATCTGGTGGTTGAGGACCTGCATCCAAATTTCCTCTCGTTTTATAAACAAATTCTAATTTTAACAATGTGAAACTAGAGAAACCATCATGGACGTTCTTTTTTATACGTCCATGAGAGAAACGTTTTGCTAGATAAACTAGTTTATTTAACTGAAATCAGTTTCTAACGGTTATATCTATATATTTTGGCTTCTGTGTTTTTATTTCTTGTTAAATATGTATGTCAATAATGTTATGAAGAATTTATCTTGTTCGTTTTGTGTTCTCTAAAAAAAAATGTTTTTCTCCAAATGACATTGAAAGTGGCGTTGTAATGACACTTAACAGGCAGAAAAGGTGTACTTTAACTGCCTAGACAGAAGAAGTTTGTTGCTATAATTCGAATCGAATTGGTAATCAAAATTGACACTGACGTTGGGTGAACACAAAATGATGGATTATTTGGAGTTTGCGTGCAATTGGAAGAATTTGGAGAAAAAATTATATGTTTCACATGGCAGAAAAGAAGAGGTAATGCCTTGGCTGGTTTCCTAGCATCGGCTACGCCTAGGTTTTCTGCCTATAATAATAGTTATTTATTATACAAGGGAAAAAAGTAGTAGATTTTAGCTCCAGGTTGACAAAAAACCGTGAGCTAAAATCTAATATTTTTCCCGTGTATAATACACTATTTTTTTCTGTGACAGAAGGAAGGACGAATCAATATTGAGAAGATAATACATTATTTCGAAATCTGAAAATTATCGACGTGAAATTTCAAGTTTTTAACAGTAGGGACACCTGCGTTTTATAGACATCTTTATCATTCTTTTGAAGTAATCAAATATCTGATGTCACTTCTGTCAGTTCAATTCTGTGATTTGATTTTGAAAAATTGCGAATTCAGTAGTTGTTTAGTAATATACGAAACCGCGAAGTCGAATGGAAGATAAAAGGACTTGCAGTTCTTTCTCGGAGACGGTATTATTGACTAATTTTTCGGAACTATAGCACAACAAAAGCCATTAACAGAGTATATATATGTGATATACAGGGTGTCCTCAAAAGGTCTTTACAAAAAGCTACCACATATTCTTCAGACCAAAACAATTCGATACAAGCAAACTTACCTCAGTAAAAAGTTGCTTAGTTTGGGCGCTAGACGGCTCTGAAGTTGAAATTTTCAAATCGATTTTGCTTCATAACTTTGGAACGGCTCATGAGATTTTTTTCAAATTTGGTACGTTGGCATAGACTCATCGGGCAATGAAACTCATATCATAATCATAATGAATATCATTCCATGGGCGTAGAACTTGATTTTTTCAGGAAATAAACATCTAAAACTTCTACGCCAATGAAAAAAAATCAGTTTCAGTATGACATCTAGATAGCCCAAATCATTCACTACAAAAAAGGTACTCTTGATGAAATTCGATTACTCTGATGGTTTCGACAATATTTAAGTTTTAGTGATTTCGCGCATATTTAAATAATAAAACGATTGATAGATATTGCATGAAAGTTTTTCAAAATGTTCACTATTTTCGCGTGAACAAAGATTTATACGACGCAAAAAGTTGAAATCCTAATCATAATGAATATCATTCCATGGGCGTAGAACTTGCTTTTTTCAGTAAATAAACATCTAAAACTCCTACGCCAATGGAAAAAGTTAGTTTCAATATGAAATCTAGATTGTTCAACTCATTCACTACAAAAAAGGTACTCTCGACAAATGGTCGAATGGTTTCGACAAAATTTTAATTTCAGTGATTAAGAGCATAATCAATAATAAAACGATTAACAGATATTTCATAAAAATTGTTCAAAATGTTCACCATTTTCACGTATACAAAGATTTATACAACGCAAAAAGTTGAGATGTACTTTTTGCATAGGTTATTTCTATTGAAAATAAGTAGCACTGGTTTTTTTTTCTGAAGACTATTATTATCTGCTCGAAAACAGTGATATTCACATTCTTGGTTTCCATAGTTTCATCTGTGTTGATTTGTCGAGTTTTATTGACGTTGATTGTTGATATCGGACTTTTCTGATTTATCATGGCCGTACAATACACCAATGAAGAATACACCGATATGTTATTGGTATTCGGATATTGTCAAGGAAATGGTCGAGAGAGTGTGAGGGTGTATTCGGCAAGGTTTCCAAATCGTCGCGTACCAAGCCACCCAACCTTTGCTGCAGTTGAGAGACGTCTTCGGGAGACCGGTCATTTTGCTCCTAGAACTGGTGATTATGGAAGACAGCGTTATGTAAGGATTCCCGAAGTCGAAGTAGAAATTTTAGACCGTATTGAAGAAAATCCAGAATTGAGTACTAGACGGATAAGTAATGAACTAGAAGTTTCTAGGAATGCCGTTCACGAAGTACTAAGAGAACAATTATTATACCCATACCACAAGACGCCAGTTCAAGATTTATCAATCCATGATTCACAAAGTCGTCTGATGTTTTGTAGGTTCATTAATTTGCAAAGAGAAATGAATCTGAACTTTGGAAAGAATATTTTGTTCACTGATGAAGCCTGTTTCACGAGAAGAGGAATAACTAATTTTCATAATGAACACGTTTATGCAATTGAAAATCCTCATTCCATTAAAATAAACCATTTTCAACACGAATTCAAAATCAACGTTTGGGCTGGAATAATAGGAAATTTTATAATTGGTCCTGTCATACTTCCACAAAGATTAACAGGAGACATGTATTTACAACATCTACGAAATACGTTGCCAAATTTGTTGGAAGATTTACCACTCCAACATCGGGTAGATATGTGGTTTATGCACGATGGAGCTCCACCACATTTTTCGGTGGATGTTAGGAATTTTTTAAACCAACAGTACCCAGACAGATGGATAGGTAGAGGTAATGATGCACCCGTGAATTGGCCACCATGTTCTCCAGACTTAACACCGATGGATTATTTTGTATGGGGTTATCTCAAGTCTACGGTTTACAAGACCCCTGTGAATACTGTAGAACAATTATGGCAACGTATCCAACAGGCGACGAATAATCTTACAGGCGATGAAGAAGTTATGCAAAGAGTACATTTCAACTTTTTGCGTCGTATAAATCTTTGTATACGTGAAAATGGTTAACATTTTGAACAATTTTTATGAAATATCTGTTAATCGTTTTATTATTAATTATGCTCTAAATCACTAAAATTAAAATTTTGTCGAAACCATGAGAGGAATCGACTTTTGTCAAGAGTACCTTTTTTGTAGTGAATGAGTTGAATAATTTAGATTTCATATTGAAACTAATTTTTTTCCATTGGCGTAGGAGTTTTAGATGTTTATTTCCTGAAAAAATCAAGTTCTACGCCCATGGAATGATATTCATTATGATTATGATATGAGTTTCATTGCCCGATGAGTCTATGCCAACGTACCAAATTTGAAAAAAATCTCATGAGCCGTTCAAAAGTTATGAAGCAAAATCGATTTGAAAATTTCAACTTCAGAGCCGTCTAGCGCCCAAACTAAGCAACTTTTTACTGAGGTAAGTTTGCTTGTATCGAATTGTTTTGGTCTGAAGAATATGTGGTAGCTTTTTGTAAAGACCTTTTAAGGACACCCTGTATATCCGGGAAAAAAGTACTCACTTTTTTCCCACGGGAAAAAAGTAATTTATGAAAAGTGACATTTTATAACCTGCCAACAGAGATGAAATGCCAAACTTTTTTCCCGTCACAGAAAAAAATAAATAACTGTTTCACCTGACCTCAGCTTTTTTTTATATATCATTAGCCAAGATGATCCGTTGACCAGTTAGACTTCCATTATCTTGTGATATCTAAAGATCTAAACTGAAGTTTAAACCACTAAAAAATCACTAGATTTGCAAAAACTTTCGCATGCGGAGCATTTTTTTTTTAATTCCATCAGATTTGGTTTTTTGTGTTTTTCAGGTAGGCATTTCGCGACTTTTGGAAATCTGGGCTGGCAACACTGGCTTTGGCGTTCCTGCAATTGTCAAACCCAGCTGTTATTTATCTGCGTGATAATTTTTGATCTTGACATTTCTGCAAAATGCCAAGTGGTAAGTGGTGTATTTGGTGGATTTGGTGAAAGGTGGAAGGTGATTTAAATTCATTAAATACGTTTTTACATACTTACGACTTCGACGGATATCAAATCTGGTGAGTTCAACAGTGACATTTCATAAATATTCCATAGAAGAGTTTCTATTTTATAGTGAAGAAAAAAACTGCAAAAAATTATTTGTGTTTGGCAATCATCATCGATTGAAGGCAATATCAGCTCACATATTGTAAACTTTTTTTGTACTGCATGTTCTGTGCTGAAGTTCTGGAAAATTCAATAAAAAATGAGTACAACTTATGGAGATTGCTCAAAACCAAAGAAATCTAAGACATCTGAGGAAATCACTTTCACATCTTACTGGGCTCACTTACCATCCCTATTGTTACATGATATTTTCGATTTGTTGAACAGAAGAGACAGGAGAAATGCGTCTGCTGTTTGTAAACACTGGAGACAGAACAGCTTTCATCCAAAGTGAGTGTATTGTATTGTGAACTCAATTGTGAACCTCTCAGTAAACCTGTTCAAATACCTGAATACAAATTCATTACATTTATATATTATTAACTATTTATATATTCTGACAAGTTTTCTCTAATTGGTGAATATATTCCCAGATGGTGGCCCACAATGAAATTCAGATTGGAAAATAATGATGAAGAAAAGTCCAGATTTTTCACCAACACATTTGGGCATATTGTGGCAGAAGCAAATATTACACTGAATTCTTTATCTAGCAAGTCTGTTGAAGAGTTCATCCAATTGTTACATCAACTAATAAGAAACAATAATTTGAAAAGTATAATTATTGAACCCAGCCACTGCCGATTGGAATTACCTATGAACCAAAGTGGCAGCATGTAAGATCTTATTTTTTTAAATTTCAATATAAGTATATATTCATAAGGGAATTGATAAAAATCTCCATGAAAATGCAAATTTTGTGAAGAAAAAGTTTTTTGTTTTATTAACTATACATATAAGTATTTGTAGTCTGATATTCTGAGACTTAGTGGTGTTAATTTTCTCAGATATGATGGGGGCTTGGAAGAAATCATAAGTATCTTGAAAACATGTTTATTAACACGTCTAAACAAATTCAGTATAGGTTGCATTGAGGATTTATGTCTTTATATCAAAGATATATTGGAAAATCTGAATCCTTCATATGTAACACACTTAGGACTAGCATCTGTCAAAGATGATCCTGATAAATACCAAGCAAACTATTTCGACCCTAAACTGATTGCCCCATTCACAAAATTACAGGTGAGTAAAATTTATATATCTAATGAGAAGGTATAGCTTTCCTCTGTAAGTTCTTGGTTTTGGAATATAAGAACCTTAACATTAACCTAATTGGTAGACATGATACCTGAAATTAATTTTTTGACTTATGTACAGTGCGGCCCAAATAAATCGTACTGACTCTTGATGGAATACAAATATTTTTGTCTAAGCACATGTACTATTTGTTGCTTAGAAATGAACTGTTTCCCTCATATGCATTTCATGAATTGCTTCATGCTGGGTGTCCTCAGAGGTGTTATTTTTATTAGAAACGGGAAAAATAATTCTATAGTGATTCTTGAAATATGCTGGTATGATATCAAATTGTAAGTTTGGAAGATTTTAGCAATGGATATTGGATAGTCTTGAAATTCTAAATTATTTACAATATTACAGGGTATCAGTATTAGAACACTGCTGAATCAGAGTAATATTTTTGTAAATATGGGACACAGGACATATTGAACTTTATCACACTGATCAATCACCGTGTATTTCAAATTTATCTGCACGGTCCATCAAAGCTCATCAAGTAAGTGTTTCGGTGTATACGTTTTCTAATATCGCACCTGCTGATGAGAATAAGTTCTTATGTCCAAAATTGGAAAATCATTGAATTCAGAGAAAAACATCTATTATGAACGATCAAGGAAGATGATTTCATGGAAAAATATTTGGAGGATATACTAACATCAAAGTTTGATTTGAAAATAAAAATTTAATAATACTCAATACCTACTGATTTATATTATCAAGTAGTTTTTTATCTAAATGCTTGGTCAGTTTTCATTTCAGTCAGCTTTATTTGATGAAGCAAAAAATATTACTTTAGCGCTGTGAACATCAACCCCAAATCTTAGGAATATTCAGAGATACACCTGATGACTATCTCCTACCACAATAAGAAATAAGTTATTGAAACAGCGGGCGGTTGGAATAAATATTAGTCCGGGTGCATAATCCGAATTTTTAAAGGAATTCTCACAAGGAGTCGTTACGATTTATTTGGGCCGCACTGTACATGTCCTTATTGCCCAAAAAATATCGATTCAACTTTGTCAATTGCATAGTATTACTTAGTTATGAATATAATTATGTGATGAATACATTTAAATATTATTTTGAATTTTAGGTATTGAGTATAGACTATGATCAGTTATCTGATGAGTTCTTATCAAAATTAGATTCTGCAAAGCAATTGGAAAGACTAATAGTCCATCTACATGGTGTGCGAAAAAATCATCCTGGTACAACTAACCAGGCTTGGATGGATTTTAGTCACCAACATCCTAGATGTGAATTACGTTTGACAGTAATACATGCTTTTGAAGATATTGATAATCTTCATGAGACTGTGATGAGGCAACATATGCCTCTTTCCCACCTCAAAGTGTTTTTTTGTGAACAGGTACAGCCAAATTTTCCATTTTATATAGGGGGCAATTCTTGAACCCATTTCAAGAAAAAACATCATATAAACATATATGTTGTAGATTATTCTTATGTCCACCTTGATGGCAAAATTTAGTCTGTTATGTTACTGAAGTAGTGCGAAAATTTCAGAATGTTATTATACAGTGTGACCCATTTAAGATGGAACCACCCTTATAAAACTTACATTTTTCAACCGATTGGAATGATTTTTTGTTGTTAGGTAGATATTCAAAAAGTCTATTAGGACACCAAATATCATGAATAAATCTCCATTTCCAGGGCCAACTAATCTGATTTTTCAAGGTCAAAAATCTAAAAAAATTACTAGCGATTTTTTTAGAAAAAATCTGACTACACCACTGGATTTGTGACATTTTCAAATGGGTAACATGTAAATTACGTTGAAATGCGTCAATCAATAAAAAAGTTATAAAGGAATGAAATTTGAAAAATATGCCGTTTAATCAACCCACCAATTCATGTTCAGGAATTTAACTTTTTTATTACTGAACAGATTTCGATGAAACTGTGATCAGTAATATTTCAAGACATCCTGAATCCAGTGGAGTATACAGAATTTTCATAAAATTCCTGAACATGAATTGGTTGGTTGATTAAACGGCATATTTTTCAAATTTCATTCCTTTATAACTTTTTTATTGATTGACGCATTTCAACGTAATTTACATGTTACCCATTTGAAAATGTCACAAATCCAGTGGTGTAGTCAGATTTTTTCTAAAAAAATCGCTAGTAATTTTTTTAGATTTTTGACCATGAAAAATCAGATTAGTTGGCCCTGGAAATGGAGATTTATTCATGATATTTGGTGTCCTAATAGACTTCTTGAATATCTACCTAACAAAAAAAAAATCATTCCAATCGGTTGAAAAATGTAAGTTTTATAAGGGTGCTTCCATCTTAAATGGGTCACACTGTATATGGTAATCTGAATGGATGTCTTTAATAAAGTACTTTACATCAAAATTTGGAGACTGGTCTCGTTATTCTGTTTTTTCTCGAAAACGGTCCTTCCTAATAAGTTTCATCAAGAGATAGTCTTTTTATACAAAATTGAATGGCCTTCCATAGTTTGTTATAAAATTTTAAAATTATCTGCTCACCTTTTAGTGAAATACAAACAATAATATCCTCCTAACGGCGCCACTGGCAATCCTATTGGCCAGCCAAATTTTATCAATCACTATTTCAATTTCCCTTTGGAAGTCATGAGTTCAATGGAATATTTCCAATGTTTGTTAAGTGGTCGCCTAGTAATTGAATGAAACTCGTTATTTTTCAGCAAATTTGGCACCCTGTATCTCAATATTTAGGACGTTTAGGATATGCGTTCATAATAAGTAGTTTTTTTATTGAAAAGGACCCAAGAATCGCCCCTTGAATAATAGCATGTCATTAAGGATCTGTTTATCATACATTGCATCCGATAAATTCATTGCAATAATAGAAATGAAAATAAAGAGGGATACTAAGCTAATCATAGGTCCGGCACTGTTTTGTCTCAATGAGGAAAAAACTCACCTGAGTAATAATTCTCACAAATTCACTTTTCCCAGGACAATTGTTCTAAACATTAGCTTCTGCAAGGTGTATATCACATTAAATTGATTTTACGAAATGCCACATTTATATGAAATTGTAAAAAAAAAGTAGGTAAATACAAAGTAATATGGAACGATCGAATAATGATCACAAAGAGAGAAACTCAACGTCATTACCACAATAGTTCATAAAATGACCGAAAATGGTAGATATAACGAGAGAAAAACAACTACTTTCCTGGATATATTCCACGCAGAACATTGGATTATGCAATAATTCGAATAGACAAATAAAATCGCAAGGGTTTCCTTCCTAAACGGCGAGCAGCGCCTGAGGGGTTCAGGAACGCGTGACTACCTACAGACCAGTTTCGAGCTGTTGGCTCTCATCAGTGCAGGGCTGTTCCAGTTAACATTCTTGACCGCTATCTGGTGCGAACCTGACCCAACGTGAACGCATCTCAGCATTTATACCTCACGAGGCGTTCAACGTCCGCGAAATGATCGCTGACGCTCGGCGTTTAGGAAGGAACACTTGCGATTTTATTCGTCTATACGAATTAATGCATAGGTTTCGAGAGGATGTAATCCAATGAAAATAGTTGTTTTTTTTCTCGTTATCTACCACTTTCGTTCTTTTTATGAATTATTGTGACCACTTTGAGTATTTGGATTTTTCCTAGTTGGAAATAATGATCAACTATTGAGACGAGCGTACAAATTAGGTGAATAAATTGGACAGCAGGCTATTGTTTAAGTCTATCTGGTCCTCTGGTCGTTCAGTAGTGTATCTGACCGACAAAACTGTTTCGTCTGTCGATCACCATTTCGATCTATCGCTGTTTTTTCCTGGCACTGTTTTGGCTGCCGATTTCTGTACGGTCGCTGATTTTGTCGTCCTTGGCGTTTCCAGGTGAACTTACAGATTGTCGAGAATCTTTCAAACTACGCAGACACCCTCCGCAGTGTCTTATGGGTAGACTCTTTGAGTAATAGCGACAACAGTTGGATCCTCGTCAAACCATGGCTCGACGAAAGTCCAGATCCGTTCGTGTTGACAGCGTGGTTGTGCAAAAATTTGGAAGAATTCGTCTTTTTTGGCTACAAATATTGGGAAGAGAATCTGATAGCTATTGGTAGATTGCGCGGCGGGAATTTGAAGAGATTAGAAATAGCTGAACCTGATATTATCTATCCACCAGGTCCCCATGTGGAGAACGCTCTCTTGGTAAGTTACAGATCGATGTATAGAATGGGAATAAAATAACCGGCATATAGGTTTTACAAGCCAGTCTACCACTCTACCAGCACAAAATACAGATTGTTTAACGAATCGTTTCATATAGGAGTATTAAGAAAAGATAACATTTGGCAACATCGCATCACGGCGACCAGCGCTCACCGTTAAACAGTTGGACGCATTATGAAAGATATTCCAGCGGAGACTAGCAAAGACGTACGGTAGCCGAATCATGTTGCCATTCACATGCCCTATATGTAACGATTTGGCGAACAATCTGTAGGTATAACAGGTAATATACCGATCACTGACATTACTATCTAGACCGCTATATGTCATATCCTAGCAACCCGAAAATCTCATCCGAATGGGGAAGTTTTCTATAATGAGGTTTGTAAAAAATTAATATATACTTATTTTTTCTTTTTTTCGTAAGTTCAAATTTCACTTCAGAAAAAAACAAATAAAGGGGAACTTGGCTGCTCCACCATTCCTATGACGTACTTTCTGAAAATCCACATTCACCGTCACCCAGAGTTGAAAAACAATTCCCTGTGCCAGTACGACGTTGCCGACATCATCAATGGGATATATAATAGGTTCTTCAATCCTTTTTATTGTCAAGTATTATGAATAATTCCCATGAATCTCATTGGCTGAATGAAGTTGATTACTAATAAAGATGAATTATGATATTTTGCGATAGTATCTATAATTTTTCACTATCGTTATATTACAATGTTATTCATAACTTAGTCATTTTTTTGCTAATGAATTCGTTCCTTTATATAAAGGATCCATTTTCTAGGAAAGTTGCAGATTATATCTTGCAACAGCGCCTAATACATGGAGTCCGTCAACACCACTCAAAATACTGACAGGCACAACAAGAGGAAGGAGCCATGGGTGTCGGCTTCATTCTGTTCTGACCGATGGCAGTAAATTAGGAAGGATAGTATCATTGAATGTAGCCGATAGTGATTCATTGATTCAATAATATTTTTGTTTAGGATCGGAGATATTTCAATGCATAAATAACAAAACCATAACCTGTCAGAATGGAGCCAACTACCTTCGGCACTCCTGCTCCGAGTGCATTTGTCGTTATGTATGTTTGTGTTTACCAGTTTTACTTCAATTTTATTCATTCGTTTTTTATTCGTTAGCTATTCGCTATCAATATTCTTCACCATCATCTATTTGAAAATGAAAACGGCTTGGACTTCATCGGTCGCCATTCTGTATAGCGTGGACATAAAACTGGAGAGTTCCGAACTTCGACATCGACATCGAGTCGTGTATCATCGGTGTTCGGAAAACTGTTCTGAAAGATAAGTAAGAGGGAGTATAAGATATATGACAGGTCCTGAATGCGCACGCCCCATTAAACAAAGTTCGAACTCGTGAAAGAATGAGCTTTGATCTTATAGCATTAGCGGTCTAGTTAGTATTTAATGTCGGTGATACTGATGGAGGAAAAATGTCGGTGGGGATGTGGCAAATATGCCTGCAGGAAGAAGAACAGTGGTCCAATCTGATACTAGACTTGATTATCCATCGCAAATATCTGCTGTATACCGGGTGGCTCATCGAAAACGTTCCACCCATGACCCAATAAGTTGTCTCCATTGTGTTGCAATTACTGAAAAACCTTGAAACGTAACGAGCATCAACTTTTGATTTTCAAATGACACACCCTGTATTTCATTGCATCTTCAGATCCTCCCTGAAGAGCTGATATCATCATTGCATCACACTTGCGATCTAGCGGGAATGATTACAGATATATCCGGTGTTCAAAATCGAGATAATTTAACTTTAGGATCTGTTTGTGTGGAAAATATTCATTATCGATCGAAATGGCTTCCATGTCCCTATATCAACAATTAGTCACTATCTACTGATATTTAATTGGGACAAATACAGGGTGGTTGAAGATTCAGAATTCTGATCATCCTGTATCTGGTCCAATCAAATGTCAGTAGATAGTAAATCAAAAGTTAAGATAGGGACATAGAAGCCGTTTCGACAGATAATGAATAATTTCGACAGAAATAAATCCTGAAGTTGAAAAATCTTGATTTTGAATACCCTATATCTCAGTAATCACTCCCACTAGACCCCAAGTATGATGCATTGATGAAATCAGCTCTTCAAGGAGAATCTAAAGATGCAATCAAATACAGGGTGTTCCATTTATTTGAAAATCGAAAGTTGATGCCCGTGACGCATCCAGGTTTCAATTGGAATTCGCTAATTGCAGAAAAATGTGTCTTCCGCCAAATTGAAATCGACATGTTCGAGCGATTTTTCATTAATAGCAACACAACGGATAAAACTTGGGTGGAACATTTTCGATGGGCTACCCTGTATTGTGCTGAAGTAGTAGTGTATAGTGTTGTTTATGAGTAGATAACAGTCATTGATTACGGTTTTTTTCATTCCTGTTAATCAATGTAATTTCACTTCAGAAAAGAAAGAAACAAATAATGTTTGCTCCTTCACCATTCTAATAACATATCAACTAGAAAAGACAAGAAAATGAGACATACTTACATAATATGTCTCTTCATCTCATTCATTAGTCCTGTAATTCCAAACAAATTTGGACTGATATTAGAAACCAATATAGAGACAGACACTAGTTTGGACAATGCGGTGTGTTTTTATTTGATGTTTCATCGAAAAGAAAGTCGTTTTTCTTTTGTATTTTCTACAGGAAAATGAACTATCCACATCATTGTTCACCATGCTTTTCAAGCACCTTATGCAAAATGGCACCTCTCCTTTCGAATTAACATGGTGGACTTCAATTTTTCATTCATTATTGTACAAAAATCAGTGAATCTGAATAAATTGTAAAATTTAGAAACAAACGATTCAAAAATAAAATAGGATGAAGCTTTTTTTACACCGTTTTCCAGTAAATCATTTTCTATGTTCACAAATTGCTGTTAATATAAGTTGACCATTTTTGGAAAACTATCGAATTTTTGTGAAAAATTGTCATTACGAGGGTTCAAAAACATGAGGAATAACACTGTGAGGTTGATTTTCCTGAAAAAATAAAAATAAAGTTAGGTTGTAAAACTTGTCAATGCATATCCCTAATTGTTACTATATCAAAATGATACAGCTTAGTTTGACACCTTCTTAAATGGCTGTTATTCAAAAGATCACTCGTCCGAATTTCGTTGATAATCATTCTAGATACTAGAAGTAATATTTTGCTAGGTATAATATAAATTTTATGAGAATCCTCTGAAGCAAACTTCCTCATTATCAATATTATTATTCAGGATATCCCCAATAGTATGGATAGACCATGGAAACCAAAAAAAAGGTCAGAACTTCACCCAGTTATTTGCAATCCCACAGATGGAGATTCTGATGAATACCTATTACCTCTAGTCCTAGCAGACTTACACTAGTTAAGTACAACAATTTTATGATACAAAATACCAACATCCCTATTTTAATCCTGCATCTGATTATATTTTATCCATTGAAAGGACCCTGGGAATATGATGACCTCATATAGGGAACAAAGTACATGTTTTTTTATGTATTTTTTACATTATATCGTGTCTGTAAAACGGTTAGATTAGCTCTCGATTTATTGACTCAGAATAAGGGCTTCTACAGAAATATTTGATTTTATCTTGAAGCTCGCCTAGCCAAAAACAATGAAACTTTTTTCTGCTGTGAAAAAATTCTCAACACCCAACATTATATAGAATCATAAAATTATTTTCATGTGTTTATCCTAAATGGTGATTGCATAAGTATTTTGAGTGTTGAGGATATCAATTTATACAGGGTTTCCAGAACAGAAGTGATCAAACTGAAATGACAGATAGCTTAGCTCAAAATATTGTGATTACCTGTGTCCAAAAATCAAAACAGGCAGTCATATATGAAAATTCATTCCTCATTCTAAAAATATGCATTGAATACTTTCAGTACAGAAATATCCTCGAATCGACGGAAATAGTATATTGTTTAACGAGCACGGAATGATAGTGATTTCCTATGCAATCATTCGAGTAGGAAATTAGCATTGGGTGCAAGTTATACACTATAATTTTTCTACGACTGTAACTGATAACAGCGGCATTTTCGATTTCTTCGGCTTGTAGCCATCTGATTTCCTGTCAAGTAATGCTCATCTATTAGAAAGAGCTGTCATTGCTTGCATTCCATGAGCGATGAGATTTTATTCAAATAATAACATAATGGAGTCATTGTGATACCAGATATGGAAATAAAGTTGATGACATACAAAGTACCTCATTGATGTATTGAACACAGGAAAATTATTCGAAAAAATAAAGAATAGATTTTTATTTTCGAATAGATAGGCATACAACTCATATTTTGAGTTGAGTAGTCTATTATTTTGGTTTGATTACCTCTGTTTCGGACACCCTACATAAATGAGTCAATATATCAAACTGTTTTATTAAAGGATTTAAGAGTGATTGATTTATCAGAAAGTGATTAACAATAATTTTTGTTCATATTTGTTTATTATACTTTGAAGAAAATTCACGACACTTTCGCAAACTTTGCATATGCAACATTATACTGAAAGACTAAAAATGCAAAGGTTGAGTTCTTTCACTGATAAAAATAGAGATAAGAAGAAAAACATCTGTGATAATGAAACTCTTAATAAAAAGCGAAAATGACAACGAGTGATATAACAAAAAAAGTTAAAGTTTGAAAAAGCTGTTCTCACCTTGACTAAAGGGAAGTTGAACTCTATTTACTTGTAAGATCTGTGATGTGATAATTCTTGTTTTGATTTTCCGTTATCCTCTTTAAGTTAACTTTTGAATTCAGTCAGGGAAAATTGGATTTCTTAAAATCCTGCAACTATGCAACTATTCCAAAAGTTGCTGATGAAACCAACATCTCAAAAAGTAATGATATTATTGATGAGTTCTCATAAATATATTCTATAGGTTGATTCTTCATTGAAAGGCTATCAAATATATTCTAAAATTTATTAGGAAGTTAAGTACCATTGAAAATTGTATTATTTTTCAAAATTGTGTCCATTCAATTGAAATAACAAATTTCGTAGACTCATCAAGATGATACCATTGTTTTGTGATTGAAATCAATAACTATTATGTGATTAATCAGTATTACAAGAGCGAGATTCAAACAAAATAAATAATTGTTGTATCGAAAATGTGACCAAAGACCAAATGTCAATATTGACTAACTGTAACAAATATCTTTAGAATGAATTATGGAGTTGTTGACTGTAATGGTTTGTTGAAATCTTCGAAAAAGAAGATTTTGTATGAATAATCTCATATTCATATATG